TACTACTACTACTACTACTACTACTACTACTACTACTACTACTACTAGTCGTGGTAGTAGTAGTAGTAGTCGTAGTAGTAGCAATAGTACTAGTAATGGTAGTTGTGGTAGTAGTAGTAGTAGTAGTCGTCGTCGTCGTCGTAGTAGCCCCCCCTCTAACCGTAGCAAAATACACCGGTTACTGTCGCAGAAAACACCGGTTACTGTCGCAGAAAACACCACCGTCGCAAAAAACACCTGGGACAGTTGCAAAAAACACCCCCGAACCGACGCAAAAAACACCGGTTCCAAACCGACGCAAAAAAACACCGAACCTAGTCACCGTAGCAAAAAACACTGGTTACCGACGCAAAAAACACGAAGCCCCACAAAAACACCCTCCCAAATTGAGACATGCACAAAACGTGTCTACTGCTTTGGGCGTTGAGCCGCAGAAAATGTTCCAATAAGAACCACAAAGCGCCTGGGCAGATTCCTTTCCCGCCCAAAAAGATGCAAAAAAACACCTACTACTGTGAGATCGCCCCAAAATCCATGAAACAGCACCCTGACAAATCATCAAATCCATCCCTCATTTGAGTGTATTGGCGCAGGGAAACCATGGGAAAACCCTAAACCCTCTGATCCCTCTGGTCTTTCTCTTCTCGTTGGTCGCGAGTCGGATCTCGCCAGTGGCCTGTCGCTCGCTTCGCCCTAGCTGGATGTCCACCGGTTCCACCGGGTCCACAGTCACCACCTTTTCGCACCGCGCCCTCCACGTTTTCGCCCCCAAAAAAGGAAAAATCGACAACTCTCCTCAGCTGCCCACCAACGCTGCGGTGTGCCAGAAGCATCGTGTCACCACCACGGGGTCTTCTCCCGGCCTGAAGCGCCATGATCAGTTCCCTATCTATGATTCCTTCGCTCCTTTAGATCATCCATCAGACTCCACGAAAATTCAGGCTAAAGATCTCCGAACGCGTCTCGAACAGCCAGCCTTTTCTGCCAAGTGGTGAACGTTTGGGGCCAAAGACCAATGAGAGACCTATTGGTCGGTGGTCGATGTGTTCCCCTTTAGATCTAGTAGCTTGAATGAAGCACACCATGCTGAGGCGAATCCGCCTCGGTTGATGGCCCCCTTTGAAAAGCATCCCACAGTTAAGGTGCGTTCTTGGATGCTCATCCACTAGCATGCCTGTATGCAACCCTAAAACCCTTCATTGCAAGTGGGACAAGATGGCACAAGACATCGACGACTCTAGACACCCTGACCAGGCGCCATAAGAACATCACAGCACCCTCACCTCTGCCTGCCATGTGTATGTCTTGAGAAAACCACACTGGACGTCCGAAGACCAAACACCCAAACGATCCGACGCTACGTTCGGAGCAAAGGGCATCGCTACGTTCGGAGCAAAGGGCCTTACTAGTAGTAACAAGAAGCTACTAGTAACAAGTGCATCGCTTCTAGTAACAAGCGCCTTACTAGTAGTAACAAGAAGCTAGTAGAAACAAGAAGCTACTAGTAACAAGTGCATCGCTTCTAGTAACAAGCGCCTTAGTAGTCAGTAACAAGAAGCTAGTAGAAACAAGAAGCTACTAGTAACAAGTGCATCGCTTCTAGTAACAAGCGCCTTACTAGTAGTAACAAGAAGCTAGTAGAAACAAGAAGCTACTAGTAACAAGTGCATCGCTTCTAGTAACAAGCGCCTTACTAGTCAGTAACAAGAAGCTAGTAGAAACAAGAAGCTACTAGTCACAAGTGCATCGCTTCTAGTAACAAGCGCCTTACTAGTAGTAACAAGAAGCTAGTAGAAACAAGAAGCTACTAGTAACAAGTGCATCGCTTCTAGTAACAAGTGCCTTACTAGTAGTAACAAGAAGCTATTAATTTATTTTAATAGAATTGAATTCTAATAGCTTCTTGTTACTACTAGTAAGGCACCTGTTACTACTAGCGTGGCACTTGTTACTAGTAGTAACAAGAAGCTAATAGAAACAAGAAGCTACTAGTAACAAGTGCATCGCTTCTAGTAACCAGTGCCTTACTAGTAGTAACAAGAAGCGAACGTAGAAATGGCGGGTCCCTCAAGCCATCCCCCTTCGGCTCCCCCACGGAGCCGGCGGAGCAGAGTCCTCTGGAACCACCTTTGGACGGCACGGGACGGCACAGGGAACGGTGAACGCGAAGCAAACCATGTGATGGAAGAAAAGTGGAGTGCAAAACTCTAAAAGACATCACTACTCTTGGAAGAATCTTGGATGAATCTTCCTAAGTGGCGAAAATCTCAGGGCTTTGAAGAACGTCTTGGGATTGGATTTGAGTTGTTGATATGGGGGAAGGACTCTGCAACATCAGCTTTACGTGGAGATGGATCGAAAACCAATCCATTGGCCCGATCGGTTGAGTGGGACTCCCCGAGTCGTCCAATAATGCCGCCGAATCAAAGAGCAGAGCTAAGAAGTGTCTTCTCCTGTTCTTCCCAGTCTCAGTTGCTTCACCTGGCATCTTGCCCAAAAGTGGCCCTGCCAGGCCCTGCCGCCTGGCCCCCTTACTTACCCAGGCCCTGCCTGCTGCACATAGGATCCCTCCACGATGGTGCCTCCCAAAATCTCAGTGGTCCCCGGTCATTCACCACCAAACATGCTCGTCTGGTGATGGCACCACGACGCATCGCATTTCATCCGGTTCTGCCCTGGCATGCCCTGTCCTCTGAAAGGTGGCGTGCTGGCCACGTCTGGTGACCGAGTTTGGAGGATCCCGTTTTTCTCCCAAAAACCATCCGCCCGGCGAGGCGAAGGATGTACCCTCCTGCACACGATCCCGACCGTGAACATTGACCCTGTAAGACGATTCTCAGAGGATCCACCCAGTGGTTCTCACGGTCCTTGTTAATCTGCAGGAGGTTACAAACCCAAAACAAGTTTGCACGAGTTCTTTGTGAAGTCTCCCTGCTCCCTGTTTTTGGGCAATGCGCGTCCACATGTTCAGGCTGATAAAAGTTGATTGATGTTAGCTTGGACAGAGCTCTCTGCATAATTAGCCAGCCACGAACATGAAGTTGCAGAGGCTGGGGGCAACTCCAAGACGATTCTTGGATTGTTTACACGAGAATGATTAGAATGCCTTCCTTTGCCAGGTCTCTGCAGCTTCACCACCCATCCGGACACCCGGAATTTGCTGCAATCTGGACACCCTGGCCTTGACGAGTGGTCCAGGTGGCATCGCCACAAGGCTTCTGCCCTGACGGAGTTCGTGGGCCGTCGAAAGAGGGATGTGACGAAGGGGCCCCAACTGGCCATGAACATCTGTGGCTTTGGACGACCCGCGGCTGTGAAGTGGATCGTGAGCTATATAAATCGACCTAACAAGAACCGCAAACTCACAAGTCCTTGGGAACAGGTCGACCATGTGTTTTACGGCTCAAGGCGTCCGCAATGAATCAGCTGTCAAAACCAAAGCCAGACGACCCTTTGACATGTGGATCATTGGATCCATAAAGGAGTCAACCAAACAAAGAGAGCATATGTAATATTATGTATATGATGAAGAGGTACCAAGAGCGTCTAAGCAAGTCTCACAAGTAAGTCTGGGAGTAAAGACTTCAGTCAATTTGTCCCGCGACTGTTCAACGGGTCCAAACTGACCCCCCTGTACACCACCTGTACCAACAACATCACCCATTTGAGGAGCTCGGAGCTCAAACCGCCAGCTTCACAGCCATCCACCTGGGTGATGTTCCGAGAAACCTGCGATCCAGGCAACACCCGAGACGACTCGCATGCTCCCTCAGACCTGGTCGCTGGTGATCCCGGTGGATCCCGGTTGATCCCTCACATCATCATCACATCGCCGGCCTTGAAACCCTCCGCGGTATTGCGTCCCATCCTGGTGCGGGACGGGACGGATGGCGGAGGCGTCTGCCACGGAAGAGTCTCTGAGATGAATTGCAATTACAAACAACCAGCTTCTTCAAAGTGACCTTTTGAAGGTTCCTAAGTGACACTTAGGAGGCTTAAGTGACCTCAAACTGGGGTATCAAAAGGTCACTTTCAAGAACCAGGAATGTATTGAAGGGGATTGACTTAGAAGGCCACTTCTGGGGGCTTCAATTGGTGTGTGGGCTCTACAGTTCAGGGTTTGGACCAATTAAGGCAAGACACTGTTCATCGAAGAAATCTTCAAACAAAACGGCGAAGGCGATCTAGAGGTGAGATCTTTACCATCCAATGGGCTCACTGATGGATGTTACATGGATAACGTGCGTGCGAAGGTGTATTTGCCCCAGTAGACCTTCGCCGAGCGATCGGCTTCTTGGGTTGCTTCTACCATCGTCCTTGGCGGACGCACAGGAGGCGCAGGTCGCAAGGATGGGCAGGAAGAAAACGCGCAGGAAAAGGCGCAGGTCGCCCAGAACGATTGATTTCCCAGGTCGCTGAGGTTCCCGGCAGTGAAGGTCCAGGTGCCGGTCATCATTTGACCATCCTGGTCGACAGAAAAGGCGTTGTCCGTCGAAGCAGCAAACACGGTGGGCTGTGTCACGTTGGGGGTGATGACGAAGCAGCGTAGCTTCTATCCAGTGGGTCTTTTCTCGGAAGCAACCCTGACCTCTGGGAGAAGTCTGAATATAGCACAGTACAGAGGGATGAAATCATGTAGAGATGCATCTGGCTTATCTACAGGCCAACTAATCCTTGTTTAGACTGTGTAGTAAAAAAAAAAAAAAAACTAAGCCCATTTGCCATCCGAACAAGACCCAACACTCCCACATCTTGGCCTTCCACTCTCCCTTGTACTCGTACTTGGTCTTGTTGAAGACGTACCTATGACGAATGCTCGCATTCAAGTGCAGTTCGATTTGGCACTTATTCAAGGTCCAAGGTGGGGATAAACGACTTCCAAGACTGCAGTTCTAGGTTTGTTGCACAAACTCTGAGCCTCTCAACGGTTCGCATGTGGTTCTTTCCGAAAATACGGGGAGATAAGAAGCGCTGTGGAAAGAAGTCATTGACGATTCTGAAACCAACCACTCCCGCACAAAAAGAATGAACCACCCACACCTCAGAGTGACTGAAAAACAGGGCTCCTCCCCAAACACAGGAGCCTTTGACATCCAGAGAAGAACCACACGCCTTTTGACCAACCACACGCCTTTGGGAGAAGAACCATTCGCACCCTCCAGCGAGGTTTGGGGCACGTCCCCGGACCATGCTTCTTCCCATTCTTCCACTCGCCTGGATCGGTCGCGGAGGTTTCCGCCGATGTCAGGCGGACAAAATGCCGCAGAGCGCGAACGAAAACCCCCGGACGAAACCAAGGAAAGCTCCAAAAGACCCAAGGACGGTTGAGTGGTGAGTGGGTCCATCAGCTTTGAAGATGATCTGACAGAGGCAGGTCTGCCAGATGTGTAACACGATGAGTGGAGAGCTGCATCAATAGGTTTCGCATCATCGACCACTAAAACCAGATCAGATTAGAGGCATCCTTTGTTCTGTCGGCCAAGTCCAAGGAAGCTCTCCTTTTGGAGAGGAACAGGCAAGACTTGAGCCTGGGGTAGCAGGTGCCTTCGCGCCAGAAAGGAGATCTCAAAAGAACGAGTTTCGTTCGAACGTGCTTTGCATGTTCAAACAGTCTAAAAATGCGGCGGATCCAAGAAGGCTCAGTGGTCCAAGAGTTGGTTTTGTTTGTTCGCTGTTCAAAGCTTCTTATATCTACAATTGCTTATAGAAGATTGTCGTCCGGATTGCCGCATAGGACTTACCATTCGCTACTAGGACTCAAAATCGATCGTCCGGATCATCGTCCACTTTGGATCGGCAGCTCCACACCACGGCGCAAAGAAAGCAAGCCAAAACCACCGAACCAGGGATCACCATGATCATCAGTGGGTTGCCCCACGCGACTCCAGCAGCTTCCACCAGCGGTAAATTAGGGTGCCTCTTGAAGCAGACATGGGAATTTTCCAGGGGTGTCAATCCTAATGTGGCCTCCTCAATCGCGTTGATGACCTCGATAAATTCAAGGGTGTTGAGCGCAAAAGTTGACACACTAATAGCAAGCTCAGCCACTGCCGCCAGAGTCGTGACCAAGAAGGCCATCGATTCAACTGATTTCTTACAAGCTTCCTGGCAAGTCTGGACAACTTCACTTGCACCTCCTACCACTGCAATGACAATGTTGAGCCAAGCAAGTGCTTGAATTGTGTTGGCCAAATCATCAAGAAGCACCAGCATGGCATAGCCATCACCTTGTGAAAGGCAAAAGGCCTCCTAAAGGGGTTAGAAAACATCGAACCATATGCGAGACAGTGTTTGGTTACCTAGGTTAGATAGGCTATTGACCTTTAGTTCACGACATTATATAGTTAATATACAGTAGTTGCATTTTCATCTCAACACCCTGCCTTGACCGTCGAAATTGCTTCCGAAGCTCCTAAGATCGAGTGCACCAACAAAGCCTCGAGGGCAATATCGGCAACAAAGCTAATCAAGGTCACCAAGAGCAGAGACTTTCCGAGATCTCCGCGGCCGCAGAACTTCATGACCACTGCTGCCAAGCAAAAGCAAACCGCCATGAAGTCCACGATCATGTCACTAACTTCCGCTTCGAACATAAGGGCGACCATGTACTTGATTTCGCTCCAAGCCTCGCAGTCTTGCTCTGCTGTGCACCATTCGTCTTCCTGGGCTGCAGCAATGACGATACCTTTGCAAATTGCTGCGTTGGAATGTTCTTCAAGACAAAAGCCGCTATTCGAATGAAACTGGACGCGTCGCTCTTGGCAGCTGTCTCCGAAATACTCTGATGCACAGCGTGTGGAGGTGGTGGTCTCCGTCATGGTGGTGGTGGTGGACGGCTCGTAGTCGTGCCTTGTCAGCCGGTCGTCTTCCGAGGAGCTGACGAAGGAAGCGAAGAACTTCTGGTGCTCGTGATGGGAGGAGAAACGAAACATGAATGAATCACCAGGATGGTGGCCGATTTAACACTTCATATCACTTCATCGCTCTCTTCAGTGATGGTGTCAGTTTCTGCTGAAACATAAACCACTGGTTCTAAGGCGAACCTGAGGTCGATCTTTTGTAGTGACTGAACCACTGATCAGTTGAACCTCAGGTGGACCTCCAGGAAGTTCGACGAGGTAAATGACCCCACAAAGATCAAAGAGATCTTAGATAGGGCCATGTACTCTTGATTTTTACCTCAACCCCCCAGAACATGAATTGCAAAACCTCTTCAGGCCTTGGGGGTTGAACTATCATCAAGATATCATCAGCGCAGAAGGTGTCGCCTGTGGATGTCAGTTCGACGTTGGTCGTTCCAAAACGCGTTTTGGAAGTTTCGATTGCAAAGGATGTGAAATGTTGAATGATTAATGAAGACCTTTGATGAACAAACCCCTTGATATACGGGGGTACTACTCAACAGTCCACATATGTCCACATTATGATGTCACACATCTTGAAATCCAGTTGTCAATGTCGTCCTCTCAAGGTGCATTCCTGCTGCTCCTTCCCCAAACCCCCATTCATGTTGCGTTGATGTGGTGAGGCCGTCGGTAGTGACGAACGTTGTCGCGGTCGTGGTCGTAGTGGTGGTCACAGGGGTTGTCGTGGTCGCGGTGGTAATCACAGGTGTGGTGGTGGCCTTCGAATGGTTTTCAGCAAGCCACTCTCAAGTGCTCTATAATAAGCACAAATGTGGGTCAAAACCCTGTCAAGCTGTGAAGACCTAGGAAACAATATGAACCATCTATAGCAAGTGGGATGTTCAGCTCAGGCTGGTCTGGGGTAGCGTATTCTTGCCTCAAAGCCATATCACGAATCCGCCGACCCCGGTCTAGGCCCATGAACGCGAGCGTGAGCGGAGCGGGGCCGGCGTGTTCCTGTTGAGGGACTCCGGGTGTAGCGGTGGGCGATGTCACTCAGCCGTCACTTTGGCGAAAACTTGGCCGTTTCGTTGACATTTGTTCAGAATAGTTAAGCACCGGTGTCCAATCGAGGTGTTGCACCGACGTGTGCGGCCAATTCGCTGCTACTTACAGTACATTCATGCCTCTCGAAGTCCTCCAAGTGCATTTCGACTGCGCAGGCTTGGCAGGCGCGAGGGAAACCTCGTGTTTTGGTGGTCCAAGTCGACTTTTCGTGACAGGTGCAAGGGATCGGAGCAGTCTTTAATCCAAATGCGGATTTTGTGGCAGGTGCAGTACTTTGGACATCGTGGTGGTCTTCGGCGCGCTCTGACCCACTGTCTCACTCTCACTCTCACTCACACTCTCACTCTCACTCTCTCACTCTCACTCTCTCACTCCTTCACTCTCACTCACTCTCACTCACACTCTCACTCTCACTCTCTGACTCTCACTCTCTCACTCTCACTCTCTCACTGTCAATCTCACTCACACTCACCATCACCTCTCTGGACCCCAACGCGTGATAACGCGTGTAGATCTCTAGACTTTCCGCTGCTACACCTCTAGACCTCACACACATTGCTTGGGGTCTCTTGCCGGGATTATTTTTGGGAAAAGCGGTGTCCAGGCTGGGGTCCTGGGTTCGACTCCCCCCTGCGCATCCCGGACCCAGTCTGACGCATCGACTCCCCCTGCGCATCCCGGCCCCCGTCTGTTTCGACTCCCCTTCCGATCGGACCCTGGACAAGAGATGTATGTCAATGTGAATCTGTCGGTCTCCGCGGCTTGCCGACCCCTCTCGCGGCCGCGGGCGTAAGCCCCCTAAATTTCTTTGGGCACAACACAACAGCGAGCACCAAAATTCCAATTGAAAGATTGTGTATAGCAAGCCAAGCTTCTTCCCCATTTGCAGCAGTGCTGCAAGTGTCAGCCCAGTTGCTAAGCTAGCCAGTTTATCGAGTGAGCGATTTGCTGTCTACCATCCGAGGAGAATTTTGCCGAAAGTTCAAGCACACAAAAGTTCGGAGGCAGTTTAGGCTTTAGTCTTGCAGGACATCTTTCTAGGGGCTTTATGGCTTGTGAGATTCGGTCCCTTCAGGGCAAACTTGGACTGTTGATTTCAGACACTCGACTCGTGCAGTGAAAAGGTGTTTCACAACATCTCAGCCTGCCTCCATGGACAACTGAAGAACCACCAAATCTGATAAACCGGCATTTGACGAGCTCCATGTACCGTATGTGGAAGCTGCTAAATGAATTTCTGTCTCTGCTGCGTTGACCAGCAAAACTCTTGATCCTGACCAATAGCTGTGTGCATGACTTGAACCACTCGGGCCAATCTGCTTCTTCCAGATCAGGTTTCCAGATGGATCATATCCAACTATAAACACATCAGTTGCACCCCTGAATGATTCAGGACTTATTACGCCATCTGTTGTCCCAGCCATCCAAATATTGGTAGCCACAACCACAGAGTGTCCGATGGAGGTCAAGGCAGAAGATTCGAGCAAGCGCGTCCATTGAATCACTCCAGCACTGCCCAACTTCATCAAAAATGCCAGGTCTCGACCTGGATCTGGGTGAGTTTGGCCTTCAAGATGCCCTTTTGTGCTTCCTGTGACATAGATGTTACTCTGCCCGTCCACAGCTACACCGCGAGCACGCTCATTCTGCGAGGTGCCAGTTTGGAAAGACCATTCGATGGAGCCCAAGGCATTCAACCTTGTGCAGAACACATCCTCGTTTCCTGCGTGAGTCTTGGATGGGAAGGCACCCTTGGTTGACCCGCATGCGACTGCTCCAGTTCCGACCACCGCAATGGCCCAAGGTTCATCATGCAGAACAGAGCCGAACTGCTTGGACCACACAATGCCCAAGTCTGACACACGGACTTTGATGACAAAGGCGTCAAAATCACCGACAGCACTACCCTCCAGTACACCACTCGTAGTACCTGTGAGATATAGGTTTGAAGAGTCAAGAGCCATTGATGATACATAGTCATCATTAATGGTGCCAAACTGCTTTCCGATCACTAAGCTCTTTGCACTATTGTACTTGTGCAAGAATAGATCGGATCCGCCAAGAGATCCTCCTGCAAGGGAACCTCCAGTATTGCCAACGATGTATGCGTTGCCAGAGGCGTCTACGGCAATGTCACGGCCCTGGTCAAAGGAAGACGTCCCAAACTGAACCGTGGACATCACGCCTCCGTCGCTTCCAAGCACTTGCCAAAACACGTCTTGTTGCCCCTGGTGCGACCCACCCAATCGTCCTTCGGTGACTCCAGCAAGGTGGACATGTCCTGCGGAGTCCTGGCAGGAGATCCGAGTTGGGCTACAGCAGCCTCTACGAACCCCAAAGGCGTAGATAGAAATCTGAATCCCCTTATATATAGATACATGCTCGTGTTGCAAACTGCTCTATCCGTTTGAGCTGGCAAAACAACAACTATTACCATCCGAGTGTCCACAGCAATTCCCACAGCAATGTCTGCACCTGCACTACCTGTCTGTGTTGCCCAATCAGCAGCTATGCCTTTGAATAGTGCAAAAATGCAAACCACAAACCGGTGGGGTCCAACCATGGCTCAGAACCGCGAAAGAGAAATCTGCAAGAGAGAGAGAGAGAGAGATGTTCTTCGGACAACCAACGCCTGGAAATGTTATGGCAATAAAAGCTGTTCATTTGCGGCTTGGGCTTGGGCAGCAACTGCAGCACAAACATTGCTCAAAACAGGTCACTGACATCAGCTAATACATGAGTGTTGAATCCCAAACTGCCCCAGCAGGACCAGGACCGTGACAAGTCATACTGCAGTCGGGAAGCCTTGCGCAGTGTGGGGTAGTCTAAACTGATGTCGGAAATTCCAAATTTCTAGATTTTGGACTATGCACCTCGTCATGTTTCTTTACGGGCGTCCTTAGTCCTGGACTTCTGTCCATCAATGAACAACTTCCGTCCTCGCGCCTGAGTAGATATCACCATTGGCGTACTGGAAGGTGCCCTGCCAGAGTCACATGTGTTTGTACACCTTGGAAAATAGGTCTTCTCCGGCCGTGGAGGTGTTGTATGCCGTTGTCGTTTATGAAGTGTTCAGCAAGAGGCAGCAAAGAGTCCCGAGTTCTGCCGAGGACAGCTGGGAACGCTCAGAGACGGTTGGGACGCTCGGTCGTGAAGCATTTCCCGCTTTGTCCCGTTGATCACTAGAACAAGGTATTGGCCTATGTAAGCTGCGATCTACACCTCTTACATGCGGACCCAGGACATCAGCCTCCTTTAAGCCGCAAAAAATCAGGTATTGGCCTTTGCTTCGGCTCTTCACTTCTACAGACATGCACTTGTCGACCGCTTTACTTGAGCCCCAGAGGGAAAAATTCCGATTCCTTGGCTGGACGCCATTGCATGTTGCATGTTTTACTCAGCAAAGTTTTACTCAGGCTGTTTTTTCTTAGGCCTCTTCAGGCCATTTGGTGGCAAGTACGTACTTTCAATCTCGAGTATGTGAAAAGGGTGGCTGTTGCTGCTCCAATTGGTAGGGGCAACAACCTTAGCTGGCTCTCAGTTGAGCCAAACGACCCTGAACCGGCACTCTGTCCGTTGACCCTCCAATCATTTCGCGCAAGTCATGAGGTTGGAGCCAAGAGATTGGTTTGAGGGGATTTTCGTAGATCCAAGGAATCTGCTAGCTAGAAGTGCGGGCCCCATGCTAGTGACCCGTTCAACAAAGATCCATGATACTTCACCCTTAGATTCTCCCACATTTCAATGATTACCGTCAGGTCTTCTGACTCTTGTCATGGCCTTGTCATGGCACCGGCGCTTTTGAAAGGATTATATATGTATGTTTCATCACTTTTTCTTCTCCCTTTGAAGGTTCTGGTTTGAGGGAACGTCCGAACCCGCATGCTCCACCGGGTGGTCTCGGTGCCCACCGTCGTCGCGCTCCCATCGCGGTCGGGCCTCACCGCTGCGCACCCCATCCTGAAAGTGCCCATGGAAGTAGCCACCCTTCTTGTACCTTCCGTGACAACCCGAATCGATGACAAAGTGGAGCAGTTTCGTTTGGGTTGTTTGTCCGGAAACCAGGGCTCGAAATTCAGTCGTCAATAAGATTAGAACACCTCGCGGCCCCAGTGGCGTGTTTCGCCACACCCTTTGCCATAGGGATTGCTCCGTGCTTGCTGATTCTGAATTCTCGCAGTCTTGCTGACTGGAAGTTTGCGCTGGCTTTCGACGATGTCTTCACTTATTTTCGCATTGACTCGAACTCCACAGATCTTCTTGATCAAGAGCTTTCAAGATCAAGACCGGTGTTTGCAGGGAAATGACGGTTCAGAGTTCAGAGAGGCAGTGTGCAGAGAAAGGACAAGGTGGGCTTTCCAAAACCCCAGCAAAACTGTGTGCTTCCTACATGAAGTTTCAACAAGGAGAAGACGCAGAGCCGTGATGGAAGAAATTACAGGGCGCAGGAACCGCCGTGCTGGTTGTGTTCGCCTCCGGAATACCGTTTTGGGCGCTGCAACCGTTTGAACCCCTGATGGCGGTCGTCTTGCCGTAGGTCAGCGAGGTCGGACCGGCCTCCCTTTTTTTCGGTTTGATTCCTGCCTGGACGAGTTTGCAGAAAAGCCCGAAGGTGCCTGATCGCTTTTTTTGCCATTTCTATCTATTGGTGCTGACTTCTTATGGGCCCTTTGCGTTTGGATTACGAATTCAATGCTAGGTGGTTCACCTTTACAGGATCTGTACGCAAAGTCAAAGTGAAAGTTTGTCCGGAAACCAAAGACATCAGTCCTTGCTCATTGTTAGAGGGCAAAGCTCAGAGCAGTGCCTGTAATCATAAACAATCTGAGACCAGGCCATCCAACAGGGACTTGAGTGATGTTTGGACCGCCACTCAGTCATGAGATGGCCGCCTTTCAACAGTCAGAGCTTCAGATGGAGTGGACTTCAGCTTTAGCTCTGCATGGAAAGGCCATGTTGAGTATGGTTGAGTGTGCTTGTTTCATCGTCTCTGCCCTCCAATGCCTCTTTTTGCCATATTCTTTGTGTGTTGAAAGACCAAAGCCAAACAAGCCAGGTCTGGGCCTTGATGGGGTCACCCCGAGAAATGCACCGGTCTTCACACCCCAAAAGCTCCAGCGCACGTGACTCGGCCAAGGCCAGTCTTCAGGTTGTTGTCAAAGGTCCCGGTAAACACGTCGCCTTTAAGGTACCTCATGAGGGCGAAGCCGGCAAACACCGGGAGACTGGACGGAGGTGAGTGACACTCTCAACCAGGTGTCTAATGCAGCTGCAACTTGATCAGAGCTATCCAAAGGACGTGTTTACAGAACACCAGCCTTGACCTACACACTTGACAAGAGCAACACTATACAACAGCGCACGTGTAGACGCCCGAGCCATGCCGGATGCCATTGGCGAACTCGCCCTCGTAAATGTCGCCATTGGCATAGTTGGCTGTCGCCTTTCCTCGTCGGACTTCGTGAAATCATCGGATTCACGACATGTAGACTGACTCTTGATGAATAAAACCCCCCATTTGGCTCGCAGAACATCTTCATTTGGGGGCTTATCAATGAAGAGAATGTACAAAAGTAATATCAAAAGCAAAGCTGCAGAAAATCAGGGAAGTTCTTTTTCCAAACTCACCATGGCACAAGGTCCTCGGGACGACCTCTGCCTTTGTTCAACTCAGCCTCAGCAAAAAGTAGGCACCACAAAAGAGAAACACCTGAAAGCCCCACCCGCTACGAATCCATGAAACCTACCCCCCATCCAGCCCCCCCTGGATCTCCTGTAAAGCCAATGGAGGTCTTCTTCTCCTCCCCGTCGGCAATCAGGGTATACACGCCCGGCGGCTGCCGCTCCTGGCCCAAAAGTCAGCAGCTAGGCACAGCTAAGCTGTGTGCTGAAAAAGATTGAAAGGGTCTTGGCTGTAAAGAACGGCGCTTGCAACTCCTTTTGTGGCTCAACAAGCTGTCATACTGTACACCCCGATTGTCGCCCACTGCCATCTCCCCCAGTCCAAGAGCGTTCCTCGTCATCTCCCATTTTTTGAAGGACAGGTGTGCGGCGCGGAATGTGCTGCGCACCCTCGGTGCGCGGAATGGACTCCCCAAGTGCTGGAGCCAAGTGCTGCAGGGACTCGGTGGATTCAACAGGTCGGTATCATCTTGGGAAGATCTGTTGATACTGTGGGACTGCAAAGGCCCCCCCAGTCCCAGTGTGTTGAAAACCAAGAAAGACTTGAGAGAGATTGGTTTAATGTCAAAACAGGTCCAAACTGGCTTCTCCCCATCCAGAAGGGGTCGGCTGATGGCTCTCCAGGTACCAAGACCGCGCGGTCGTGCGGTTTTCGACTGGCCACATGGGGGTCTGCAGCACCACGTCCAGGTTCAAAGGTCTCAACGGACCTTTTTCGATGACACACCGAGAGAAATCTGTCCCGTTTCGACCCGTTTCAACCGAGAATGACTGTTGGGGGCAGTCCATGATCGTATCCGAGCAATCCCAAGACTAGAAACACATGTTCGATTGACATGATGGTGATAGTCGTGTCATTGGTTGTTCAAATACCTGGGAAAGTGCCACAGCCACTTCGGTGCAATGCTGTCATCACACCAGACAGGTGGCACAACACCTAAGCTACTCTGCCAATGGCCTCAAAAATGAGGGACGGTCCAGGACTCAGTCCCTGGCCAAGGTGAATGTCAAAGCAAATGACCCGGGTCCAACGAGGCGCCGACTGGCTGCCACCGCTTCAGAATCGGGCAAAAAAAGAGGCCATGTTGAATCATGATTAAGAAACCCCCAGGTGTGCTGTCCATGGCGCATGTGATGTCCATGGCGTTCACTCTATCTATGTTGGAGTCGCAGGTATAACTTATGGATGTCTTGGAACATTGCGGAATGAAGAATCTTGGGGGGCTTATGAATCAAGATCCAACATTAGGAAAGCCGAAAAATATCCCTGGGATCAATGTGCAGTGGATGCATTCTCCTCGAATTCTTCTTCTCAGGCTTGGCCTAGAGGAGTTCCCGACTGACTGGTCACAAACCATATCATAGAAAGATAGATTGTTCTCGTGATGGTTTTCCTGCGGTCTCACTGTTTAAATAAACATCCAAATGAACCAATGGGTCTTGCTTGAACCCAACATGCCAGTGGGATGCGAGTGAAAAACCGAGTTTTCTTGTAACTCTTCAGCGCGACGAACGCGCGATCTGGTCATTCCATTCCCGGCATCGCGGACATGTCCCCGGCAACAACCGATCACTTCAAGCGATCAGTGTTGGAACTTGAAACCAAAAGAACGTCGCCATCAAGTCTGTTGCTCAGTATGCTATCACCTCAAGGTCTCAAGGCGGGCAACCATTTCGCAGGCACCTACCTTCAAAGGTGAGTCTGTAGGATGTCCACAATCTAAGCTAAAGAGAAAAAGAAACACCATGGTCCTGATTTAGGAAACCTATAGCCGCTATAGCCTACAATAGTCTCATAGTCTCCTCTTGAAACCAACATAGACACTGCCAACACACTGACGATCCTCCACACAGCAGTTAGTGTTCAGGGCACTGAGATTGGCTCCGTCTTCAGGGATGTAACTGCACATATGTAAGAGGCCATATCATCTTCCAAAGCATGGACCAAGAATGGATCACTGATGGAAGACATCCTGCACCTGAGATCAAGGACCCCACTCTCTGCAGTGCTACCTTCCAATGCTCGTGTGTTTTCACCCGAAGGGATCAGCATCAACAATGAGCCATCCGCATGTACAGCGAAAAACAACAAGCAAGAAGCAAGGACGAATTCAAGCAAGGAAGGAAGAAAGCCAGACCATCCATGTCTGGAATAGTTACATACATTTGCCCCATCCAAATGACCCCAATGTAGGTCACTCTTCCAGTCCCATAGACTCCATAGACCGATGTTTCGGAAAGGAGCCGGACGTGTCGCGCGTCGCCACCGTCCGTCTCCCGCTGTCCGCCCGCTTTCCCGTCCGTCCGTCCGGCCAAGGTGCCACCACCGCCCCGCCACCGCGGTCCCGACCAACGCTCTCCGGCTCCGGCCTCGCTCCGCGGATCGGAGCGGCGATCCGCTTGTTCAATAGCTTCTTGTTACTACTAGTAAGGCACTTGTTACTAGAAGCGATGCACTTGTTCCTAGTAGCATCCTTGTTCCTAGTATCCCCAAAATAGACGGATCTGGTGTCCGGAGTATGTTGGAAACGAGCTAATACCTACGGATTCACCATGCTGGTGAACATTGGGACGCAAATGGTCCAATTTATATAAATATATACAAACATATATATATATATATTCATATATATATATATGTTTACTATATTTTATTTATGTTCGCATAGGCTCCCCCCGATTCTGTGGCTGGCCATCAAAATGCACGTGAACCTTTTCACACCATGAACTTCAGAGAAAAAAGAAAACATTGTCTTTTGATGTCAAAAAAAAATGATATCCCTGTGTCACCTACGGCAATCACCTCACCCTTCATCCGAGAGGCCTCGTGTTGGTGAGTTGCACCAAGTCCTGTTGAGGATGCGAAGTGTCACCACAACTATGGGACGCGTTCTCAAACATAAAAGAACAACGATCGAAGGGAAACACCAATGGACAGAACAAGCAGACTCGCCACGTCAGATATTTTTTAAAAAAGAAGAACGAAACGCCAATAGAGTTTCTAAGGATGCTTGTCAAGTAGATTCTGGAAATGAACTCTTCTACCCAGGTCGGGGGTGATCTCTCAAGTGTTGATGCTTCGGTGAAAAGGATCTAGACTGGGACTGCTTCAGGCTGCTTCGGAGAGTCATACCTCAAAATATCACCTGCATATGATCGGACCATTTCTACAAGAACTCATCCCTCTGAGAGTTCTCAACTGAGGAACTTTGACAACAAACATCTTGTGGGAACCCCAACTGGACTCCCGAGGCCGTTGCCATTTCCCTCAAACATGTTCAGGTTCACCTTTTTTTCACATGTTTGGTTTTGAGTGGGGGAACTCCCCTCTTTCCCTGCGGAAGAAAAACATATTAGTCATGGTGGTTCCAGAATAGATAGAAACTGTGTCCAATACATGTTTAGGCGGGATCTACTTTTCTATCTATTTGGGGGTCTATATCAGTTATCCACTTTTCCTGGGTAGGCCAAAGAGAGAGCCGGGTTGACTTGGGTGAGTCCGCCAACCCCCAAACCAGCCCCTCCAAACCAGTCCCGTCCCGTCCCGTCCTTCCGGCACAGTGCACAGGTCCGTGCGGACTGGAGCCAACCCCCGATGCAGTCCTTCGCGAGAGAAGGTCGGTCCGGACGGACTGAGAGTGAATGGATGGGCGGCTATGGGAGACATCTCCAGGAATCCGCTTTCACCCCCAAAGCGGAAAGCTATGGGAGACATGGGAGGCTTGAGGTAGAGGGAGACATCCAGGAAAGCTATGGGTTTTCTGTAGATGTTCCCTTCAACCAATTCTGCGATGTTCGAGTCTGTCCCAGCGCCGAGGGGGAGGGGTGTTGAGATGGCTGTAGACGCCTTGGCACATCTGACCAATGGGCACCCCTGGTGTGGGTGTTGGCACTGTAGACTCCTGATTCTATGGCTGTGGGTCACCACAAGACCGGTTGAAATACCGAGGTTAAGCTACTGTACATGGTGTGAGGCTCCAAGTTTTGACCTATCCCCGTGCCTGGAGGGGATTCTATTGATCAAGAGTCTACATGATGCATCATGTCAAGACTCAAAAGGAAGATTGTCAAAATTTTGGCTTGCCCGACATGCTCTCTGGCTGGGATGATCAGTGAAACTGCTTCGTGGGGCAGGGGGGTTCGCAGACACATTTCGGAACCGAGATCGATGGAGCCAATGTTCACCTAGAGCCCAGACACGACCTGTGTGTTGACAGGAAAAGACCATATGTTGGGTGGTTGGTGATCCAAAAGAGAGTCACTGTCAAGCTCTAGGCATACGCATCTATCAGATACCATGAAACGACCCTCTTGAAGACATGAAACGACAAAAATCCTCCACTGCATCGGGAAACCATTTGGCTATCTGATGCCATCTGGGTGGGGAGCGTATGGAGTGGCACAGAAGCATGAACATCATGAACATGATGATGCATGTACTCGGCACCAATATGTTAGCTGTAGTATGTAAGCAGCAGTACGTCGCGCATTCTTCAAAACATTCCACCTAAGCACCTCACCACCCACAGCCCCATGTCATACAAATCCGGTGCCCCTCCTCGTGAAAGGCGTGGCCACAAGGGGTCGCCTTTCAAGCGCCCGAAGGCGCGATCCGCGGCGTGATCCGCGGCGCCATCCGATCCGGTCGGGCACCACAGGGGTGAGCAGTGAAGGTTGTTCTTGGCACCTTCCCGGATCAGGACATGGGATCTGTGGTACACATACGGACAGGATCGGAAGACGCATGACAGGCAGGAATCCCATGCCAGCATCACCAAGCTCTGTGGCCCGACACATGGAAAGAATGAAGCCTCCCTGGTGTGGATCTGCCTCAACCTAGCCGTAGAAAACCATGTATGGTTGGTTCGGAAGCCGTTCTTCCATTCCCAGTTGCATTTTAATATTGAAGTATGAAGATGGATGAAGTATATACAGTATGCCCTCTTTGTCAGCAGCCACTTGCTTCCAAGCGCCATTCTGAGGGTGAACATGAATTTATAGAATGTATAGATACATAAAATTACATAAATTTGTTCCCTCAAAGTCCCAGGACCCCACAAAGTATGGCCTCCCAAATAATTGGGGACCACAAAGGTACGAACGGGCCTAACCCCTCAGCCCGACTCCCAAACCACGGCCCCGACTCCCTGGCGACTGGCCCACGACCGATGGAGCTGGTGGCCTTAATCACATCATCTTTCTCCCAGCTGCCAAGACAAATGGCGCACTCCGACGGGTAGGTCTTGTCCTCCTGCCCGGTCGGTCGAATCCGTCTCCAGGGGTCGGGGACGGAGGTCGGGGAACCGAAGACGAAGTCCGCACAGCGGGGGGGCGGGGGACGAAACTCAGCACATCGGTGATCAGTGTTTTTGGTGCACCGAAATGGCACTTTTCTGCACATTAATGGTCATGAGTCATCCTTCTGCTGGGCGTCTTGGACCAAACACACCAAAATGGTCTCGCTTGTCACCCTACTCTCCCGAATTAGCCCCTGAAGAAGACATAGAGAACGTATGGTTTCATCAGTTTCATCAAAGCTTCTTCACTATCTATATATAATATGGGCCAGACAGACAACCTTAACCTCCAGACCTCTCCCCACATTTCCACACCATCCCTCCCCATGTCCATCCCCACGTCCCCAATCATGTCAACACCAGGCCCTTCCCTCCCAAAACCCCAGCTCTCCGATCCGATTGGACGACCCCCCAACGACTTCACCTTCGCTCTCCCCGGACGTTCACCGCTCCACAGACGCAGACGGCGGCGGCTCCACGCGCCGCGTCGCTTGGGTCGTCTTCGCCTCGTCGCCGAAGCGGTTCGTCTCAGCGTCGGGGTCGTAGTGGATGGTCTCCAACTTCTCCAAGGTCTCGGGCGGCGCCTCGGGCGGTGGAAGGACCCGGAGGTTTTGCAGCAAGACTGAGGGGGTGGGGCAGTGTGGTGGGGGAGGGGACCATGAAAGCTGGCAGTTGGCAGTCAAAGAGGAAAGCCGTGAAGCAGGTGAAGGAGTTGGAGAGGGTAGGACCACTTTCTTTGCAGTCTCATACCCATCACGGTGATTCTGTTCGTCACGAGTCGGTGTTGGTTTCACCAACCTGGTGGTTTTGTTCCATGCCCATTCTGTCATGGATGATGCTTGTAAGTAGAAACCTTAAGTATAGGCATCAAAAATATCAAAATACCAGTACCATAATGCCATACCTTGATCCAAACTTCCTGACTACTCATTATATTCTCGTGGGAATGCGAAAAAGAAACCCGATCTTCAGGTCTCCAGGTGCCCACCCTTCGGTGGGCCGGCCCACCGGGCTTCCCAGCGCGTCGAGACACCTGCGGGCGACCGCTGCGGTGCCACTCCCATAGGGCGGCTTGACACTCCCAACACCCCTCAGATCCTGCCAATTCAGGACGCCTATCGTGCAAGAAACCTGTATATCTGAAAATCGACACGCATCAGTCGCATACCCCACACTGCACGGAGTTCGTCCTGGGCCAGGAGTCGGTGCTTGGGGTGCGTAGCCCACGCGGGCCGTAGGGGCCAGCAACGCTGCGTGCACGGACTGGCCTCTGGAATCCAGACAGAGAAGAGGTCCAAGGTGTTGGCAATCAACCTTGGAAGCCGCTTCACGGTCCAAGTGCGCGACCCCGGTCATGGGTTGGTACTTGGCCCTGGCTGGGTGAACCGGTCGATGTTCCAAACCCAGGGCCTCAGGGGGTCAGAACGCCCTGGGAGGTCTTCCTATGCAGCAAACACACCTGACGTCCATCAGGAAAGACCTCATCCGCACCCTTCTCTTTCGTACCTCCATTCATGATGGCGCAACAGAATCATGACACCCCCCGACCTACCCGGCTTCGGGTGTCGAAACGAAAAAACAACACCTCTTCATCAGCTCGAGCCTCGAGCCTCCTTCCGCCTCGAAAGCTCCAAAACGAGCTTCTCGTCTTCGGGTCTTGAGAAGGTCTCGTCTTCATCAGGAACCTCCAAATCAGTGGGTCTTCCAAATCCAGAGGGTCCACCCAATCCCACCTCTCTCCAACGAATCCACCCGCGATCTCGTCCGCTCAGTTCAGCAGTCCCACAGAGACGATAGCGCGATCGCTGTAGCCCCACCGTGCAGGCCGTGCAGGAAGGCCCGGAGGCACGGGGAGTTGGTCCACTGGCACGAGGCCCCCACTTATTGTGCCAGTGAACCTCCACAATGCACATGAAGGCCAGCCTCACCAATTCGAGAATGCGAGACTTCTCTTTTGCTGCAGCGTTTTGGGGAGTTAAAGAAAACGAACCAGTTCCACACATGTCTACGAAAAATAAGTCTACAAAATAGCTCAGAACCCATTGGAATGGCCACTCCGGTCTTCGGCTTTCCGATCGTTGGCCCTCTCTCCACTCCGCTGCTCCGCTGGAACAGCGGGGGGCAAGAACTGTTGGCAGCCACTGACTGAACATAACACTGGCCCAAACACTACCCAAACGAATGAGACTCAAAGAGAGCATGCTTTTGGTTATGCAGTTATGCTACTTGGCTAAGCGTGCTTCCTTGAAAGCTAAGGGCTCCACAAACAGGAGCAAACCGCGTAGATCTTCAGTTGCCCGTACCTTGGCACACTGGGATCTCTGATGAAACCCACGGTGCACCCACAGATCGTGGGTTTTGAGAAACCAGTCACGATGTCAGCGATCGCTTTTCCGCAGAACCAGTCCCGTGACACCCCCGCGAACCCGTCGTGCCCGTGAACCAGTCCCAAGTGGGTCACCGATTCCGGCGACCCGGGTCGTGGAGAAAAAGGGGACCCCAATTCCTCGGATCCGTCCGAGGGAGAAAGAGAACCGCTCCTTGAACCGCTCGTTGAAGCGGACCGACGCCGTCGGTCCGTCTGCGGCCACGCCAGGTCGTCAGGTCCGGAGGATTGGGGTTTGTCTAACTGAGAACTCAGCCGTCAGGTGGGTTTCTTGTAGGTCTTAGAAGAACTGATTTAATGAAAGACCCTCATATAATGAAAAAGCAATGAAACACCAACAACCAACACCTTCAGCTCCAACCCAATCAAGAAGCAACCAATGCAAAGGCTGTTCAAAGCCAAACAACTCACGTTCCCATAGTTCCCTCCAACCAACACCTTCAACCAGCTCTGTCAGCTGTTTGCCAAAGAGGTGCAAGTCGGGGTTCCTGCGGGTTCCGCGGAACCGGTTCGATTATCATGAAAATCATAGAGAAACATTCAGTTGATGAAAATCATGGTGAACTTCAGGAAAAGAGTAGAGGACCATGGTGCGTCTTTGGGATGTGTTCAATGGGATGGACTTGTGGACGTCCTATTCCTGCCCTCGGCTTCCTGCCTGAATCACGAGAAAAAGTAAAAAAACATCTTGTTTTCTGTTTTTACACCACAAAACCAAGTCAGCCGAATTGTTTTTTAATGGTCGAACGGAAGGCAACCAGGCCCTTCCTGCTTCGTTCACCCTCGTGCAATTGATCTTGTTGCTGAGTTCCGGGAATGATTCGTGGTCTCGAACCCCCCCAGGATTTTGTGCTGGAATCACACCGATGTCTTCTTCTCAAGCAGAACATCGGGTTCTTCACCCCAAACAGAAACCGCATCGACCGCATGTCTTTCATCCCAGCCATCAACCTCTGCTCGTTCACCAGATATCTCTATCTGCTATCTGCTCTCTGTCCTGCTTTCACACTCGGGCGATTGCAACAGGTGGAACCAAAAGAGCACCGAGGCGACCTCGGTGTTTTCTCGCGCAGACCGCCGACTTTCGGACGAGTCCGACCGCCGACTCTCGGCGACCCAATGGGCGACCTCGGAGACCCGTCCGGGCCAAGCGGAACGAGTCTGACCGGCCAATCGGGTCGTCTTTTAATCGTCTGAGACCGGTCTGGCGGCCTGATGTCAAGAACCCCACGGGCCTCTAATGGATCGTTCACAGGCCTCATGGATCTTTCACAGGCCTGATGAATGTCAAAAAAATAAGAAAAAAAAAGGGAACGGATCTGGTGAAAGCACCGGCCTCCACAAGCACAGTCGTGGACCTCTTGTTGGTGGCCTCTTGGTCAGGGCGCAACCTTTTTGGGATCGTTTGGGCCCTCCAAGGCGTAGAACACGTATGCCCTCAGAACGCCAGACTGGTCTTCATCTCCGGGGCCACTGAGATCTGCACACAATAGATGTAGATGGGTCCATCACGAATCAGCAAGTGCACGCAGTACCTGTATCCATCGGAGCCGCTCTCCAATCTACTCGCTTGCACAACACGAGTGTCAACTTCATCAGTCTTTCGAGGAAGCAAAAGAGTCCAAATCCTGCATCCAATACGTTCATCTGATTCGTGGGTCACCTTACCAAGAGTTACATCCTCAACACCGAATCATGCTGGCGCACGTGCGGCAGAACCCGTGCGTCCGAGATTGCACAATGGCTGGGCGGAGCAGAGCGTGGCTGCAGGGAACACCCCCGTCGGAGGTGGACGAAACACCCAGGACCCTCTCCCAGTATGTGCTCATCTTCTAACCTGAGTGAGCCCCTCTTTCAATACGAAAAGGCCAAGTTTATATAGTACAATTGTAGTTCCACACGAAGGACCACTCGAACTCGCATGTCGAACCAAGCTTTGACCACGTGAAACGTCAGCCCGAAGAAGAAGAAGAAGAAGAAGAAGAGAAAAACATAAAAGAAGAGTCAGAGTCCCGGAAGCGTGAAAGAGTATGAGCATCCCAAAGAACTGCACTGCCTCCCATTCTGGAAAAGAAGGGGACAACCTCTACACGTGCCACCAAACCATGGCAGTCCTCCACTTCCACAATCTCTTGATTGCTGTCCACACCGGAATCTCTTGCAGAGGAATGGAGTCAAAAGCTTCGGACCCCCGTTTTCCTAAAAGATAAGACATGATGAACCACTGCGGTCGTTGAGTTCTGACGTTGGAAGACGCAGACCAAAAAAAGAGAGCTCTCTTATGTGTCGGGATCAAACCACCAGAAAGCTCTTTGAAAACGCTCAGTTCCACATCAAACATGCTCCAAAAACAGCTGCTTCACACGGAGCATCTTCAGGTCAAACACTGAACCAAAAAGACTGGCCTTCACAACAAGGCAGAGGGCCCCGAACTCGGTCACGCAGTCTGCCCTGCTGGCATGGGGACTGGTCTCACCCCCTGTCCTTCCGCTCAGCCCCCCACCCACGCGCGACAAAATGCAGGGCCTCAGGTGATGCAATGCTCGACCCTCCAGGCACAGGGGTGTTCAACACAGACACCGTGGCTGTGAAAAAGAAACGAGTTGACCCGGAAAATGCCATAGAACAATATACATGAAATACATGAAGCAAAGCTGGAGGTGGTTCTCTTCTGGGCTTTCTCAGTTCACATGAGATCCATCACAAGTTTGAAGTGCTTGGGGATCTTCATCTGAGGCCTGCAAAACGTGGCTTTTGAATCAAAGCACCAACTCCACGCCCTCAACTGCTGTCCGAGCAGGTCGGAACATGGCCGAGTGGCACGAAGAGGGAAGCTCGGGCGACCACAAACCACATGAAGTAAATGAACAGAACACGGGCCTGATACCTGGCAGGGCAGAGGTCAACCTGTCTACGACCTGAAAAAAGCCACACAAATCCTCAGCTATGACAGCTTGAATTCACCACCCAACAAAGAAATAGAAGGCTATCTGTTGGCGGGTTGAAAACTCCATTCCGCAGGCTGGTTGCCTCAAAATAGGCTCTGCAACACGGCCAAACGGTCACCTCGAGCGGGCATTGGGCACCTCAAGCGGTTGCCTTGATCTCTGCACTCGGTAATGTACTTTTCATCCTGACGCTGTCGGTGCCGCGCCGCTTCCACCGGCGTCGAACTGTGATGAGCAGTTCACAGGTCCACTGGGCAGTTCATGCGTCTGACTCATTGTGGTGGTGTTCATCTCTGCAACTCACTCAGCCTCCGGTCTGTGCTTGGCAGGACCCCACTGAATTGGAATAGAAACCCTCAAAAAAAAACACCCCATGGATCGATGTCCCACAAATCCAAACAGTACTACTTCACCTGACCCTGTCACCTCGTCCCTGCAACTTCTTCTTCGTGTTTCGAAGAAGAACCCACAGGGCCGGCCTCGAGCAAGGGATGCACGTTCACGAAGAAGTTCACAATCCACGCGAGTGACATGAGAGAGATCGCCTTGGAGGGGCGGCGACCAGTGTTGGGCACCTCGACCAGTGTTAGGAGTCTGCTGGTCTGCTGGTCTGCTGGTCTAGTACTAAGCTGGCTTGCTTTCGGAGGCTAGTACTGCACGTGGAGAAAACTCATAGACTCATAGAGGATGTTCAACAAGCGACACTTGCATCAAGAAAATCGTTGTTCACAAACTGCATGATGATGACATGAAGGGGCTTCAGCCTCCTTTCACCGCTCACACCCTGGCACGAATGAGAATCGAAAATTCGAACCAATTCTTTTGTAATGGGTGGAGATCTGAATCACATATTCATCCAATGTCATCCACATAAATTGACATCTTGTCTCTTTCTTCTTAGAATGCCAGTAACATCTGCTCTCGGCCTCCCGTCTTCCCCCCAGTAACACCACCACTCACGCGCAGTGCCTCACCTCCCCCACCGCCTCCCCCACCGCGGCCCGCCGGAGTCGGCCGCCCCAGTCGGTCCGGTCCAAGGCGCGGCCATGAAGAGTTTGAAGCGACGGCTATAGTGAACCTGCGAGGCCACCGGAACCGGTGCCGGCGTTCGAACACCAAGCGTCCCAGGGACGTCAAACACCAGCGCCGTTTCGGTCAGCTGGCAGAGGACGTCAAGGGGGTTGGGCAGGGGATGCCAGAAGTGCTTGAATAAGAGACAGTGAACACCAAACACTGCCTGGTGAGCCAAGAAAAACTCAGAGTGACAGAGGCGTTTCCACCATCTCCCAAATGCTGCTTGCCACCAATTCCAAAGCTGCTTGATGCGCCTGCAGCCTCTCCGGTCTACCATACATGCAAAGGAAGCGCGCAATCCTTCTTGGAATGGAATACCTGAGTCAGACTCTTCATCCTCTCCAAATGGGGGAGAGAACAAAGCCAAGAAAAACATGGAACCAACCAAATGACTGAAGTTCAATTTCTGTCCACATAAAATTATAAGTATATAACTTTTACATAACCGTGACCGACTTGGTTCAGAAGGGCCGCAAAAAATTCTGGAGCGACGAGTCGGAATGAGGGAGTGATGGACCCCGGGACCCCTCCACAGAAGCTACTCGCTGGCGAGGAAGACACCAGTCAGCCCGGTGTCAAAAAAGGGAAGACACACAATGTCTGGGTTTCTCATGAATGATGTTGATTGACCCACCTGCCCTCTAAACCGATCCTAGGACCAGTCCACGGCCAAATATATGAGCGATGGAACATATTTCCGTCAAGTTATCACATGGGCCTTCCTTACCTCGTTCTCCAATCTCGCATCGTTTTTGGGGTGTAATCTCGTTCTCCATTCCTGTATCTGTTTTGGTGCAATGGATACCCATCTCGTTCTCGAGAGGTGTTCCTACCTCGTTTCACCAGCTAAAAATGTCATTAACTAAACCATTTCAAACAAATGGCGCAATTGATGCCCATCTCGTTCTCGGGGTGTTCCTACCTCGTTTCGCTAACTAAATCTGACATTGGCATTGGGCTATAGAAAAGGAACGCCCCTTCCACAAATCGTGACTACCGCAAATAAAAGCCGTTGCTCAATATGAGGGTGGGATGCCCCAGGACGAGAAATCGACGAGCTTTGGGGCTTTAGTTTCTCTTTGAGACAGTCTTCCGAGCTTCAGACTGCCTGTCCATCCCTTTACTCCGATTCTATCGAGCAGGGTGCAAGACCACCGAGCGCCCAGCAATTTACATGACATGACCGAGCTGGAAAAACCTCCACTGAGGCGTTGTTGCCCCAAAACGCCAAACCTCAACAGCTCTCACCAAAATAATTTCTGAAGAAGTCATTCATCAAAATCAAGAAATGACGTGTTCAAAACCTTATTCAAAATCGAAAGAAATGACTTCTTCAAGAGCTCAAAAACCCAAAAACCGACGACGTCGGCTGCTGTTTGCCGGCACCAACCGACGAAAGGCACCCCGGGGGGTAACACCCGCTGAGCTTCGGGCTGCGCCTCCCCTCGTCTTCCTAACAGGCGAAGCGAACGAAGGAACGAGGCTGAAACGGAATGCCGTTGTCAACTGTTTTTGTTGACCATTTCGGGGACCATTTCTAAGTAGGTTGCAGCTCTACATAGAACATGTCGAGATAGGGCGTTGACAAGATGTCCTTGAACTTGGGAACGATTTGATGAAAGACCCAACAAATGAGCGACCGGCCTTGGGCAGGAACTGGGACGATGTGGCCCTGGCGATGTGGGGCGAAACTGGCCGCGTGTTTCACGCGGTTGGTGCGGCCGACTGCAGGGAATGACCCTGTTCGTGGAATCACCCAAACCGGTTGTGCCACCCAGTGTCTTTCTTCCATCTGTGGCCGGTGCCTGAGCCGTTCCAAACGTGTTTCCGTCCTGCTGCAGAGCTGTTTCGTGTGGTTGCTCGACTGCTGCGTCGGCGCAGGAGCATATCATTGCATCGCCGCATTTGTCATCATGTGTCACTGTACTCTCGTCACCCTGCGCATCCCCTGCCTGCTCCAGGTCCCCTGGGAGAACGAGACATGACCATGGTGGTCATCACCAAGTCCCCAAACACCCACAAGGGAATTGGGGCGTTGGAGGCCATCCGGCTGGCTAGACAAATGAAATATGTTATACATCTGTTATAGCATAGCATTCATATAATATATATATATATATGTTAATAATATAATATGTATATATATATATATTATTTATAATATATATTTTAAGTATATATATACAACTATAATATTATAAGGTATGATCCAGCCCGCGAGAGGTCGGAAATATGTCGATGCAGATCTTCCGCCAATGTCATTCCTGGCTTCAAGAGCGCCAAAGAGACTTCAGAGTGAAACCTGCTGGTTTAGTAGTATTCCACAGATACATTGGGAAAACCTCGGGTACCACACAGGTTCTGCTCTCCGCTGAAGCTAGGTCCATCGGTTCTCGTTTCGGGCCTTGGGGGGTGGGATTCTCGGGGCGAAACAACCCACCGAGCGAAACGAGTCGGGCACCAAGGATCAACCACCTCCTTGGGATCATATCCACACGAAAACACCCATACAGGCCCATCACACACACCCCTGTAGGGCTTACACACTCTCTTCACTCCTTCACTCCAATCCCCCCCTGCCCTGCTTGGGCTCCTGACGTCCCACACCAGGCCTGGAAGCCGAAGCCTGCGTGATCCGGGGACCGGATCGACGACCAAATCGCATCGGTGCGTGCTCTCGGTTCTCTCGGTGGATCCGTCCGAGTCTGGAGTGGTTTTTTTCAGTTTAAAGCCCAAGGGCTTTTTCCGGACAAAACAGCTGGGTGTGAGAAAGTCACACCTACCAGGGCAATGGCACCATCACAAAGTTCACCAACAAGACCTCCTATAAACTTCGCCCCATTGGGGGCCAGTCCTCGACCTCCGTTCTCCTGACGACGACGTGACGTCGTTTCACAGACGATGGTCACGTGGGACGACGGACGATCGAAGAAAGCGAAGGACACGGCGAAGGACACAGATGGTATGCAGGATGATTTAAATGTGTTGTGTAATTCAGGGGGCACAATGATTTGTTGTTTTTTGCTTAAGGGGGGGTTGTTTTGGGGCGCAAAAAGAGGCGACAAGTGAGTGTGCTTCATCTCCGGGTTGCGTCTCGCACCGCAGCCTTGGCGTATCGCACCTGTACCCTTGCCATACCCCGTGCCCGCCTGGTCATCCTGCCCCGGGTTATTCAGATGCCCTGGGGACGGCCGGAGGTGGTCTCTTGTGCCGGGGTGGGGCGGTTTGGGGGTTCGGAGTGGTCGACCTAGCTGAAAGCCGGAATCTGAAGGAAATACATGGAAGTACCACCTGCAGGTGGTGCACATGGCAGGCAGGTGCACACCTCAGAGATTGATTGATCTCGGGTTTGCAACATGCGACTCCGCTTGGACCCATGGCTCCATCAATCTGCCGGCCGATGTGCAGATCTCAACCGTGAAGATCGAGCGCCAGTCCCGGCAAAGAATTCCAGTGAACACTTGGGACTGGATGGTAAAAAGGGGTGGGACGGAATGGTCAGCATGGAGGAAGGTGTAAACAAATTCACCAGACTACCACAAGGGTCAACCTACTGCGCTTTTGAGCAGATGCTCCAATAAACACTAAACTTCAATGGTCTGATAACATGAGCCGCTCCACTCATGAACCAATCTCATGATAACATGAGACGCTCCACTCAGAATCCAAGCTTCCATGTCCCAACCCTGGCCTCTCCATACGAGGTATCCAAGCATGCCAATCATGGGAGCCCACTATGTAGCGCTCCCAGGCTGTCGAGCCACATTGCAGCCGTTGACTTTCGCACAAGTGAACTTTCATGTGGTGCCAGACCACGAGACCCGGCAATCTTGCAGCACTGCAGCACAAAAACGGCCCCATACGGCCCCCAAAAGCGTGGCTTGGTAGTGCTAAGTCCAGTTCTCACCAAAAGGAGCTACTTTGGTCGTACACAGCAGAACCTACCCTTACTACTAGGAGCAAGGACGCTACTAGGGGCTCCTATCCTTACTAGGAGCGATCGGACGCTAGTAGTGGCAGAGGACCGAACCTCTTCCGACCCTCTGCGATCGCCCCTACGATCGGCGCGGATGGACGGAAGGTGTGCCTTTTGCCGCCCTCTCCAACAACTGCGTTACCGTGGACTACGGCCATGGCCCGGGGGACAACGCCCCAGCCAGTGTCAAGCCGCAACTATGAGGGGCATCAGGGGGAGGTGGGTGTCTCTAGAAGCATCCTTTTGGGGATTGATGGCGTGTGGGTCGAAAGTTGGGGCAAATATGAGTATATAGTCCAAAGACATCGTGACATCGCAACCAACTTGATTAGGTCCTATGTCTCCATATTATATATAACATCTATAAGCACCTATAACCTATACAACTTGATATCATGATATACAGTATACATGTTATATGTATATCCGCCGACCCCAGCCGATGGATGGGGGAGCGCATATGGCATATAAATACTTAATGCACAACTCAAGGCACACGTGTGAAAATCATTGAAAATCAACCCAACCCAAAACATAAAATCCGTTAGAAGCTCCTGTGCGTCGGTCATTCGCGGCGCGGATGACCGGTGGGACTGATGAATGGACGTTCTTCCCTCCCGCCTTCATCCACTGGGCAGTGGATGGGCAGTGGATGAGAGGAAACTGATGTGCCAAAATCCTTGATGTTGGAGTTGAGTAGTTGAACTATCCATGAGAGTTGAGGGGAGCCTGGCTCGGTGGATCCACCATCCTCCCTGTGTTGGTCCCTCCCGTGGCGTGGAGTCGCCGGAGTGAGGCATCCGCGTGGCCACTCGATCTGCGTCAACGACCGTGAATCCGACCGTCCGACCGTCCTTCGAACAAAACCACTTTCCACTGAAAGAACCGACCTCCAAAAAAGAAGGACGAAGACCAACGGACACATGTAAAACACATCGTCCGGGCTCCGATGTCCAGATGTCCAAACACATGGGAATCCCTGTGTGATTCATGGGAGTTGTTCAAAACATGATCTTCAAAGAAATTGCATGTTCAGTGCTTTTGGAGTTCCAGAAATGCTCCGAAGAAGCCGCTGGCGAACAAGGAAGCTGAACAAGGGCGCAAGTGAGTCACTAGGCCCTTGTATTGTTGCAAGATGTCAGAAACCTCACATCCCATAATCAAACCAAAAAGGGCTGGCTTTTTGTCATTTCACTCAATGTTTGAAGGATCTTTAAGATGATCTTGTGGATCTTCTCCATGCCATCGGCTGTGACTTCCTTTCACCACCTCCTCCAACACGTGTAAAAGACCCTGGTTGTCCGATGAACACATGGGTTGGTCTAGAGCCTCATCCATGTTCCCTTTTTCCTAGGGCTTCTTCAATCACAGGCACTATCCCCCTCCACACTGTTTTTCAGTTTTTGTTGACCACCAACGTACATGAGTTGCGCTGGCACTTTCTTGGAGCTCATTATGCCCCTAGTATGCCGAGATCATCGCATAAACCCAAAGAGTCTGTCAGAAAATTGCAGGGACTGTCGCTTGACGCAGTGGAGACATTCGGAGGCATTGTTCACCGCCCTGACAGTGGAGCCAAGATCCTAAAAGGGCCCGGCAGCGAACTTCGACCAATCGGCACGAAGTCGCGGCATGTTCTTAGATTCATCGAAACACACTCCAAGAACATCAGTCGAAAATGGCACAAAAACGGCGTGTGGTTTCTCTCAAGGTCGGCCGGTCATCTTCAATGAAAGACCGGCCTGTCCTCGAATCTGGCGCTGTTTGGGCTCTGAGCTTTTTGTAAAGGATCCTGGATTCGAGTTCTCCAAACCTATGGGTGTCCGATGCTCCCACCCAGACATATGAACTATATACTCCAAGAAGGATTCTCATCACCAAACAATGTCCGATAGCTTTCCATCAGGCTGAGTCCAAGTCTGAAGTATCATTCGCCCACCCAAAAAAACACTGACCTGTAAGTGATTTTGAATGAAGATGTGGGTGTATATCTTACTAGGGAGAGCCCCTCGCCCTGACTGGGTAGACTGGTCTGTCTTCAAAACCTTCCAAACCGGTCTGTCTACACACCCATGTTCAGCACTCCCGCACCTCCCTCCCTTACATAATTAGGGAGTCCTCCCAGTTTGACCAGGCTCCAACCCTCAGAAAATGAATGAATCCTCTTAGATGTTATGTATGACTCTTCGCTCTTCGCTTTCGCTCGGCTCCAACCCTCAGACGGTGGCTGGCGCGTCAGGCTCGGTGGTCACCGTCTCAGCCGCAGGGGCCTCTTCCTCGGGGCGATGTCGCGTGGGTCCAACAGTTCAGTCGCAATGAAAATGGAAAAAAAAGAAAACGGTCGCAAGAGGTCCACGGTTCTTTTCAATGGACCCCAAAAAATGGATCTACTCTAATTTGGTGGGTGAACATGGTCTGCCGATGTGACTGTCACTTCCAAACAAAGAACTCCGGGGACTGGTCTGGTCTTCTCCATTTGGGAACTGGCATGGTTTGGAGTGCGCCCCTCAGTGCGGTCCTCTCTGTGAGATGAATTGGATTGAAAAAGACGAGGACTTCAAAAGAGGACTTCCTGTTCTGGTTGCAAACCGGGTTAGAAACCGGGATGGTAGATGGTGTGGGATACAAACTTCAGAAGTGTTCCATTGTGAAGAGAGTGAAGTGTGAACAAGTGTTGTCCACCTGATGTGTATCTGTTTCAAGCAAGACCCCGGAACCCCATGGCCGTTCTGTTCCTTACTGTAGGTCTCTGAACTATGCCTCGAAGTATCAAGTAAGCAATGTCAGTTCACCGATTCCACGTGCTTCGCGGACCCTCCCTGGAACAAAGCAGACCAAGCCGAATCTGATTGAGCAAACCTCCTTGGCCCCTGACATGGTGTGGGAGCCCCCCACGCGCTTCCAAAATCTTCTGCCGCCGCCGCTGGCGCTTGGACAATGGTACCTGCCGACTCGGCTTCTTGCCGCTTGCCGCGTCTGAACCCGAAGGACCTAAGGGACCTTGCCTTCACTCAGGATGTTGTACCAAAAAACGCAGCTCAAACATGTTCTACATGATCTTGCAAGGGGAGGGAAGTCATGCAGTCGTCCTTCGTTCCCTTCGGTCGGATCCGGAGCTCTTCAGGTCCGAACGCTCCGGGTGTGAGGAGGGGTCCAAGGATTCTTAGAGTGGATTCAAATGAATAACTTCTTGGTTCCATCTTCCCATCTTAGCCAGGCACAAAGCCTTTTATGGTGTATCTCATGCATTCCTGCACGGTCCATGTCTCTTGCTTGTTCAAAAATTCCTGGAGCCTGTGAACTTGAGAGGTCCCTGAAAAACTATCCGCCAATCTCTGCATCTCCAATGACTTTCACCATGCACGGAACTACCTTTCAGGTGACCTCCATTGCAGTAAGAGGCTGGTCGTGTCGGCATCAAGGCAGACTGCCAACGGCAGAATCAAATGAGCTGGAGAACACCTCACTGAATTCTGAACGTCCGGCTGGCCATGCCATAAATCAAGGGTGTCTCCCTCAGGCGACTTCAAAACCCAAACGTAGGTGGTAGGTATTGGTGGTGGGTCGCTATACTTCGCTAGAAAATGACCCCTGCCACTAGGTAGAATTGTCATGAAACAGTGAGAACCCACCAAAAATGGAGAGCGCAGATTTCAGATAACTTCAAGTCTCATTGACCACCAAAAAATGATCTCATACATGCCTAGAGCCCGAGGTCAGAGACTCAGGCTCTAGGTACCCTGGATGTCTGCCTTCTGGATGCTCAGAATGGCATGATTTCAGGATTGAGAAGGCAAATATGTAAACATATACCAGCACCTTCATGTCGGGGTCACCTGGCTGGCAGCCCCAGCCCACCACTAAGGGACCTCCAGCCAGGACACCCCGTCCTCGCACCAAGCCGATCCGCCGATCCGATCTGCGGCCGGCCTCGATGCCATCGTCCGTGCCCTTGCGCTTGAGGCCATCCTGGCCAAGAGAGGGAAACCACGGAAGCTACTAGGAACCCGGGCATCGCTACTAGTAGGGACGCTACTGGCCTTACTACTAGTAGCAAGAAGCTACTAGGAACAAAGGCCACACATCTGGAGCCGGGTGATGCTTTCGAAGCCCGAGGCTAACATCTTCCGGGGGGGGCACCAGGGCAAGGCTTCTAGCCACCAGTCCTCAGGGGCCTGGAGTGTTTTCAGACACGACCTTGTGAACTGGGCGTCTAATGCTTTGAGATAGCAGTGCCTCAGGTCGGGGATATTGAGGATCTTGTTTTGCTATGAGACGATTCAACAACCAACCCATGTCCGATGTCGGACGCATCGATGTTGGGCAACCCACGTTGTGTAGGGGCTGTAGGGATTCACCCTCGTTGGTACACCCCGCTTTGCGGGCCAGCTTTCATTTTGTTTTTGGGATCTTTGGGCCAATAAAGGCGATGGGTGTTACAGTACCAACCCCACCAGAGCCACCTGTTAATGTTTTGGCCCCTGGCGAAGGCGACCGAGGATGCGGCAAACCCTGTCCGTTGGCCGCGCGGGACGTACGCGACCACCCGCCTGTCCATCGCCGGAAGTCCTGGGGGCGTGGCAGGTGTGGGTGCCCCAGCTGTGGTGAATGAAGGACTCTCCAAACCACCCGTTGGGGGACCAGTGAAAGGGCCTGTCCGGAAAGGCAGTCGATCGAAAAGGCAGAAAGGAGAGAACACGGATGAAGAAAGTGACGGATGAGGTTTGTGTGGACTTCACTCTGCGTTTCCACCTCAGGTTCTGCGTGTTTTCGCCATACTTTCTTCCATGTGTGGGGATAGGAAAAAGCCGCCCAAGATCCCTCCAGCTGGGTCCCCAACTGAGTCAACCAGCCCAAAACTGGTCCACCGACGATCTTCGGATGGCCCAGCTGAGTCCCCAACTTCTCATCGCCCTCCTCACCAGGCTTCTCTGCATCTTTCTTCGCCTTCTCCTGCCGTCTCCACGCGGCTTGCCGTCCCCCACCACCACCTATCAGCTTTCGGGCGTCGAGATAAATGAACTCCCTTGGACCATGACTGAAGTACCCAAGGAAATGGGAAACGTTGCCTTTTGGTTTTCCCCCCGGCAAAGAGAGCGTGCGTTCCATTTGCCACTCGACCAATCCGAAAGAATGTCACCCACCCCGGAGAAGGAAGGCCGTCGCCCTCGTGTGGCCATTCGCTTCACAAGACCGTCCTTGATGCTCGCGCCTTCTTCCTGCACGGTCGCGAGGCGACGGCTGGGAATCGGAACGCTGGGAAGCACGGAAGTACCCACACCACTCGCAACCTCAAAGCCTCCCGACGACGGATGCGGCTAAGACTTAGAAGCTCGTGGGCTCCAACTACCTGAGAAGGTACTTGGGATCTGTGCCAGGGAGGTCAAACTACCCTTCGAGGATGTGGTTGGAGCGGATTTCATCAATCTTTCATATACTGTATATACCTGAGATGCTATGGGCCGTATGGGGTCCCATATTGAGGAAGTCCTGTGCAGTCGACACGTTCGGCTTTGAATAATCGCTGCATGGCCTGCTCTTCTTCCACGATCCGGTAGCTGCCATCCTCAGGTGGTACGAGTCCGTCTAGCGGAGTCGTTTTGCATGTGGAGCATTTCGACATGTGGTGTGGAATTCCAGGCAAGTCAACAATCCCTTTGGTTGAAGCTATTTCTGGCAGAATCCTGAAAAGGCAAGTCTGTTCGTTGTCATATTGTGAAGACTGGGCAACTGAAAGCCTACCTACATGAATATGGAGCAATCCAAGACTATCCAATGCAAAACTTGCTCAAAACTTCCACCACTCAAGCGACATCCATGGCATGAAACAAGGACTTCTGGATTCAACCGTACCAGGACCCCCAGTCGGGGTGGTTCATGGACACCCCTCAACCTCTAAGGGGCTATTGATAGACACCCACCCCTGGTCCTCATCTCCCATTTACACTTCCCCAAGTCCCAATTGCAGATTGCACATCGCCCTTGATCTACTCCTTTGTCGCCACCCTTCACGTCACGTCCGCTCCAAATCTGGAAAACCGCAGGTGGTTGGATGGATCGTCCTCGCGCCTTCTCGATGATGACCTCCTCCACATCGGCAGGGGTCTCAGCTAAGACCTTCTGCACATATTTATCCACCTCACAGCTCCGAGCACACGGACTGTGTTGGGTTCCCAACCCTCGTCCCGCACCAAAAACATCGACCTGCACCTGCCCCGTCCTCCGTGGGGGTCCACAGCTGAACCATCACGACGTCTGACTGTTGATATCTGTTCATCTTGATCCCTTCGGTACTGCCGCCGGGCCGTCCTCGGTGAAAACACCAGTGAAAAACCACTTCCCCCCTCGGCCTACCGTGACAACCACAACTCTCGCGCCACGCTTTTTGTTGCGACTCTGGCGACGTTGGAGAGGGCCATTCCGGTGGTCCACCCAGTCGCAAAGAGGGAATGATGCATTCGAGATCATTCTAAGACAAGCACCCAACAGTTTAGCTGAGATGGAATTTCTTCGAAAAAACTCTTGGAAGACCACACGTCAGGAGTCGGTTTCGCTTGTTGGTGGCCCTATACCTAGAGGCTGCAGTCTTTGCTGCAGTCTTCGCTGTCGCTCGTGTGGCTGTAGCGAATATACCAGGACAAGCTAGGTCCTGTGATTTTACACAAAGTCACAGAAAATGTTTGTGCATAACATCGAGGACACCTCAAATCCTTAGCATTCTCTGTGGCAGGCAAGGACTGTTTCTTGGTAATAGGCCTGGGGGGCGGGGGCATATCGCGTTGATCCACTTCTCCATTCATCATGTGGATAAGCTTCCATCGAGTCCTCGATGAGTGGGGCTTGCCCCACATCCGGAGCTCCCACTTGTGGCATCCAATTCACTGACGGAGACAGAGCTGGTCACACCTTCACAGCCGGTCACACTCGCTTTGCATATGTGGAAGATTCACCTCCGTGCCCAGTGCCGGCTGCAGAAACACAAAGGACAGCCCAGGGAGTCTGTAGTTGTGATCCAGGAAACAATAACGAGGCAACATCATATTCCATGTCAGACTCGTTTTTTTGTCTTTTCCATCTTCTACTGTCATTCAACACTCGTGGGTATATCTGTTCATGTCAAAATGCTGATCACCTTGCTAGCAGAAACTGCAAGAAAAAATGATATTCAACGAAAAGGTGAAAAAACAGAAGGTTCCACATACACTTAGTCACTAGCTGATGTCAGTCAAGTCGACTACCTCCGCTCCCCCACCAATAAAGCCCTTGTTCCGCACCCTAAAAAGGAAAGGACACCAAACGCCCAAAAAAAACCAACGAGGACACCTCCGACCTCCGGTCGACGACCGGTCATCAGGACGGTCATCAGGGAACTGCCTTGTTGGCTTTCTCAGAGTCCTGAGACCAGCTTGCTGGGCAGCTCTGAGAGCCTTCGGGCCAAGCTGGGTGGCTCGTCCTCCGACTCCTGACTCTCCATGGGGAGAAAGACAGCGGTGAGGTGTGGCAGGGGGATGACTCGGCCAGGGCAGACACCCAACGGCATGAGTGAAAGATGGAATTCGGTGCAAGAGGAGAATGAGGATTCAACAAAACATCGAAAGAGTACTGAGTACTGAGCTCATCCAAGTCAATTGAATTCGGTACAAGAAGTTTTAAAGAATCAAATAAATGGAAACAACAGCAACACCGGAAAAAAAATAAAAGAAACACATCCATGGAATATGACTGGTCATGGCGTGACCTTAAAACCATCCTTAACACCCCCCAAAAAAAGAAATAAATTAAAAGTAAATACACTGAGCTGTGGTGTTCTTCTCTGTTCCAGGGACCCCAAAAACATCCCAAAAAAAACCGCCCGACATTCTCCCAAAAACATCCCCCCTCCGGCGGAGTCGGTCGTTTTCTCCTCGGAGTCGGAGCCCGAGGACTCGGTCTCCGACTCTCCTGGACCGGCGGCGGTCGACGCCTCCGGGGGGGGGAGCAAGATGCCTCCGCGCGGGCGGGGCGAACGGGGCGGAGAACGGGAGCTCCGCCTTTTGCCCCCGAAGAGTTGGAGGGGTTGGTTGAAGGTTTGGAGAGGTTGGTTGAAAGGGTGAAGCTCCGCCCCAGGAAGGCGAAGATGGAGCGAATTTCTATGAAGCAAATGGCTGCTTTGACCGATTCAACAAGAATGTTCAACCATCAATAGTTTGTTCATTCCAGAGTCAGCGAACTCAGCACACGTTCCGGTCTTCAAGTGTTGCGGAATTATCACAATCTAGCGGTCCTTGCGCCAATTTGCGGTGTGCAGCTGTTTGTGGGAGTGGAAACCTGCACCGAAAGGACACAAATAGAGATTCTCACTGCCCCGGGCGAGAATTCATCTCTGTCTTCAGACATCAGCATGCAGCCATCGATACCGAGAACGGAAGCGCAGCAAAATCCCGATACTTCTTGGTTCTTTAGACCCCCAAGAAGATGTGAAAGAAGGGGCACCTCTGCCATTCTCTACCCAATCAGCACCCGCTCGGCGCCCAAAAACCTGGTCGTCACGTCCCTTCAGCTCCACTCTGCCTAAGTCCGATGGCGGGCTCTGTCCTTCCAACTTCCGGATGAGTTTCTCAACGGAGAAGCCCGCGGAAAGTGGATTGGGCACATAGATGTCGCCCTCCACCTCCACTCCTGGCAGCTGCATGGCTTGTGGGCCAGCCAGATTGGCTCTATGATGAGTGCAGGCTTGTGGGCCAGCACACCCTTCATAGATTGGTATGGCCCGTGTGGTGCGGGTCAGGCTGTCATGCGAATGCACAGAGCGCCAGCAGAAGGAGGAGGCAGAACAAGATCCGCATCCTTGATTCCGACAGTGTAGTCGATGATCGGTTTAGTGGAGTCCGGTAATTAGACAGAAATTGTCTCCTAAACAATGTTTTATTAATTTTTATTAACTAAAGAGGGGTCATATCATATCCATGTTGCGGGCAAAAATTACACCGCCATAGACCCCAAACAGGTTGTGTTTTCAAAATCGGAGCACTCTGCAACTAGAGTTTGCGACGTCCAGAGCTGGGAGACAAAGGAATGCAAGGCAAAGGCAGAAATAGCAGTCGAGAGCTGGGAGACACATGTAAATTTAAGGATTGCAAGGCAGAGGTGGATACAGCAGTCTAGAGCTGCGAGACAAATGCAAAGGATTTCAAGGGCAAAGGCGGACACAGCAGTCAGAGCTAAAAGACAAATGTAAAATTAAGGATTGCAAGGCAGAGGCGGACACAGCAGCCCAGAGCTGGGAGACAAATGTAAGGATTGCAAGCCAAAGGCGGACACAGCAGCCCAGAGCTGGGAGACAAGTGTAAAGGATTGCAAGCGACATGCAGCCCAGAGCTGGGAGACAAATGTGAAAGGTTGCAAGCGAGAGGCAGAGACAGGAGTCCAGAGTTGGGAGGCACATGTTAAGGATGGCAAGGCACAGCCCAGACGGAGCAAAGGAAAGCAAGCGAGAGGCGGACACAGCAGCCCAGAGCTGGGTGACAAACGTAAAGGATTGCAAGGCAAAGGCGGACACAGCAGGTCCAGAGCTGGGAGAACACATGAATAGAAATGCTACATGGCCAGCGGAAAAGGGTGGACACCAACAGTGACAGACCTGGGAGACAAATGAATAGAAATGTTGCATCGACAGACCTGGGAGACAAATGAAGAGAAATGTTGCATACAGACCTGGGAGATTAAATGACTAGAAATGCTACATGGCCAGCGGAAAACGGGGGACACCAGCAGTGACAGACCTGGCAGACAAATAGAAGTGCTATATAGCCAGCGGAAAAGGGCGGACACCAGCAGTGACACAAAGGGCGGACACATCTTAAGAAAGAATTGAGAACCCCCTAACAGTAGACTGTTTGGGGAAAAAGGAGGATTTCGTGATTCAGCAGTCCCTCACAACGTCCAACCCTCGCTGGTGCCTAACCAATGCTATGTCCATGTTCAAAAGTGGGTGCCTGCCGGAGGTCGTGGTGCTTGCGAGCGATCGGCCCACCGCAGGTGGCCCTTGAACCGGGTCACCGAACACGGAGCCGCCAGTCACCGGGCGATGTATCTTCCGTCAAGTCCCCAAGTTCCCAAATCCCCAAGTCCCACCCGAAACAACCGCTCCCAACGGTTGGGAGCAACGGAGTGCTGGGGGCGGCCTGGTGTCTGCAAACCGCTCTTTCCGGTGCTTTTCTCCACTCACTTGAAGCACTCACCAGACTCACCCAGGCACAAAAAGAACACACCTTCAGCATCCTTCAGCATCCTTCAGCCCTAGCTACAACACCCCATCAGACGCCTTGTTGATGCTCCACCATCGCCTTGAAGATCCGATTCAACAAGCTCACCGAGACCGGGTCCGTGGCGGTGACCAAGCGCTCGATGCGGTTGCAGTAGGCGGGCATCCGAGTCTTCGTCAGAAAGTACAAGGCGGCGTCCGTGAAGGTGTTGCAGTTCTTGTAGAAGACATCATAAGTACCTGAGAAAGATCTGAAAGAAGAACTTTTGATGAAGACGTTTCATAATTAAGTACCTGAGAAAGATCTGAAAGAAGCATTGCAGTACCTGTTCGAGAGCTTGAAAAATATGGCCTTCCTGCATCAAAAAGAACCGCATTTGCGTCCAAGGACATGCGAATTTCGCACTCTAGACCAGCTACCGCGTGGGGAGTGCCGTTTAGGATTTGGGCATCCCTTGTCATTGTCCAATCAGCAGCACTGTCTTGGTGGGCATCGTTATTGTGCTGTTTTTTGTCTCGGGTGAAAGATGCTTGTCCAAGACCAACTTGCTAAGAGCACAGCTGAAAAACAGTTGGAAATCAAGTGTGGAAAAAAGTAGAAAAATATATACAGTATTTAAAAAATATTGGCTGGCTTGATAAGACCACATGTGGAAACGCAAATTGGATCGGGAATGAAGCACTCACAGTTCCAGAGTCTCGACTCGAAGGTAACAGGACCGGCCGCTTGGCACTGAAAGACGGAAAGCCGAACCGAGGAGAACAGCTCCAAACAGCCGAACCAAGGGTTTACGCGGGTCAAGCAGCTCCGGTTCTCCGCTTCTTCATCCAGCGTCAAAACGAGCGGCTCATCCGGTCTGGGTGTCCTGGCTAGCCTACCCTACACTTGCTGCCCCTCCCTTCGTCGCATCCCGAGTTGCCACGCTCGAAGTACTGGTGCAAGGCCGCCACCAGGTCCCTCCCGCTGTAGGCGCTGGACCCGATCCGCGTCACCACCGGCTCCTGGGCGAGTCAAACCCACCAACCTGTGAACTCTAAGCTTGTTCACCCATCCGAACCAAAAACGAAGACCAGGTGAGGTACAAGTGGTGAGCTGCACTTCAGAGCTGCAGTTGAACCCCTGGACTTCTGTTGGACATCGTCAGGAACCCGGAGATCAGAAACTAGACAACGGTTGGCCCGAGAGCGAAGAAGGTGATTGTCAAGCAATTCCGAGTAAGGAAATAGTTAAAATCGAGTTGTCCAAGAGCCATGATTTCTTTATACAATTTCTTATTGAGTAAGAAGTTGCGAAGAAATTAGATATAAAATATTAAGAGAATATGTAAAAAGAGAGAAAGAGAGGGCGGATGTGAAGCAGGTGTGATATAGATGTGCAGATGTGTGGGTGTGTGGAGGTAGAGAGGTAGATCTGCGGATGTGAGCGTGTGAAGATGTAAATGTACAGAGGTGAGGGTGTGTAGACGTAGATGCGCAGATGAAACGGCAGTTGTGGGTCAGGAGCGCCAACCTTGGTGCATTTCTCGCTGTGCAAGCACAACGCTGAAGAGGTTTATGCGATATCGAAAAGTTCGACAGCACCATGTCGTCAACGATACAAGCAATCCCATGTTTGTGCAGCGAATTGTGTAAAAGAAAAAATCACCAAAAAAAGGCTCGGTACCAACATGCCGTGAACAACGCGTATGATCTCATTCTTGTACGGAAATTTGCATGAAAGTCTCCAAAGAAGCTTGGTACCAAAATGCCTTCAAAGGCAGAGACCATGCATTTTTATGCGAAAATCTCCAAATATATCAATATAAAAGCTCGGCGCCACGAGGTTTTTGTAAATAACATCGAACACTCTCTCAAGCCGAACATCGTCGCCAGAGCTTGCCAAAAAAAGACTCGGTACCAACATGCCGTGAAAAACGCGTATGATCTCATTTTCATACGAAAATTACCATGTAAGTCTGCAAAAAGAAGCTCCGTACCAAAATGCCCGGAAAGCCAAACACTAAGATCATTTCATATGAAAATATCCATATCTATTCATACAAAAGCTCGGTACCGCAATGGTTTTTGTAAATGACATCCAACATTCTCTCAAGCTGACATGCCGTCAAGAAGGTATATGATCACAATGTTGTATGAACAGTTTCCACAAAAACGAGCGGTTTCCACCAGACATTCGCAAAAAGTGACAATGAAGGCTTCCAAAACGAGGGTTTTCCACGAGACATTCGCAAAAAGTGAGAATGAAGGCTTCCAAAAAGAGCGTTTTCCACGAGACATTCGCAAAAACTGACACCGAAAGCTTCCAAAACGAGCACGGGACATTCAAAAAGGGAGAATGTAGACTTCCAAAACGAACGTTTTCCACAAAACATTCGCAAAAAGTGAGAATGAAGGCTTCCAAAACGAGCGCTTTCCACGAGACATTCGCAAAAAAAGTGAGAATGTAGACTCCCAAAACGAGCGTTTTCCACGAGACATTCGCAAAAAGTGAGAATGAAGGCTTCCAAAACGAGGGTTTTCCACGAGACATTCGCAAAAAGTGAGAATGTATACTCCCAAAACGAGCGTTTTCCACGATACATTCGCAAAAAGTGAGAATGTAGACTTAGAAAACGAGCGCTTTGCACGAGACATTCGCAAAAAGGGAGAATGTAGACTTAGTCCAAAGCGAGCGTTTGCCACGAGACTTTCGCGAAAAAAGTGAGCATGAAGGCCTCCAAAACGAGCCTTTTCCACGAGACATTCGCAAAAATTGAGAATGAAGCCTTCACAACCGACTATGTTCCACGAGCCTTCTCAAAAACTGGTCAACTTTACCCGCATTCTGTGCCACAAAAACTATGAATATACAAAAACGCAATCTCACCTGCATTTCGCACCCTCAACGCGCACGATCTCCGCAGAGGGTTGCGCGTGCCGAGCCCAAACCTCCAAAACGCAATCTCACCTGCATTTCGCGCGCTCGACACGCACGATCTCCGCAGAGGGTTGCGCGTGCCAAATCCAAAACGCGATCTCACCTGCATTTCGCGCCCTCGACACGCACGATCTCCGCAGAGGGTTGCGTTTCGTGGTGCTCCGGCGGCACCGCCCCCGCCTTAAGAGAGAAAGAAAAGAAGAGCGAGAGGATCCGCAGATGTGAGATGTGCAAATGTGAAGATGTGAAGATGTAGATGTACAGATGTGAAGATATGAAGATGTGAAGATGAGCAGAGATGTAGATGTGCAGATGTGAAGATGTGAAGATGTAGATGAGACGTAGTTCTACAGATGTTTTTTAGGAAAAACCCTTCGCAGACGCTCTCGGGAAAAAGACATGTCCGTTGATCCCCTGTAAAATTCACATGACAACCCCGGGGGGGGCCATTTTGTACCTACAAATCCGGCACCCCAGGTTCAACCCAACCAATCCACTATAAAATCAAGCCCCCAAAGATAGAAACCTTAAGTCTATAATATTGGGTTGGGGGCTGGCCATAGTGAGCTCACAGAAATTTATCAGAAAAGTGCGCTCTCTATAAAATCAACCCCTCCAAGTTGCCACCGACAGTCCAACAAATGCAAAACCTCATCCCGTTGCTTCCATTTCATGGCATGTCCATACAAAACCCTTCACGTGTCGCCTGTTCCGTCCCCCCCCTTCATGGAACAAAAGTGTCCCGGCTGTCCCGGCTGGGGCTTCGGAGTGGTCCGCTGGGGTGTCTGCTGGGCGGGAGGTCCAGGCCGGTCGCATCGATGTCAGGCTCTGGCGGCTCTGGCAGCATGTGGCTGAAGAGGGGCTTGGCCTCGAGGATGCCAATGGAGTCGAAGAAATACTCCTGATGGCGAGGGGCTGAGATGTCAAGGAGATGTTTCATTGGAGTCCTGTTTCAGGATGGAGAATAGCTTTGCCCTTGAGATTGGATTCAACATGATTCAACCTCTTCAGCCTCATATGTTTCGAATCGGACTTTCACGATGGGACCAGGTGTCGCCAGGTGACACAGGTGTCGCCAGGTCCTACCTTCAGCTTTTGGTTCTGACCCCTTCAGAAGGCCGTCTCCGGGTGGAATGTCCGTCTCCGGGCTCACGCAGGACATCTGGGGGCCGCCCGTCTCCTGGTCATCCACGATGACGGAGGTGTGGTAGCCAGACATGCCCGCCACACGGATGATTTCCTGAAGTCAGCCAGTGAGATTCTCAACGGACATTCCCGCGTGCACAGTTTGGCCACTGTCTGTCTTTCATGGCTTCAATCTTCCACCACCTTCCAAGTTCGGTGGTTGTTCGACACCCCCAAAGAAAACCTCTAAAAGGCTATTTTTATAGAATTTTATAGACACCCCCGAAGAGTCGGGTTGCAGATGTCTATGACTTGGAGAATTCTTGGACTCCACTGACCCATTTTTGCCTGCGAGACCCAAGGGACTGTGGCCGCCAGGCTGATGGTGTGCTGGCCTTCTTGGGCCTCCGAAGGCATGGTGTCGCGAGCGCCGGGGTGGAGGTCGCTCGAACCAACCAGTGTCGAACGCGTTGTTTGTTCATGTCTTTTACACTAAGGAAGAAGAGAGAAGCATATGTCACCACTGCAGTTGAGCACAGGGGTGGAGGTGATGTTTCTTTTTGGCGGGTTGTTTTTCTATCAAAGGAACAAACACTAGATGGGTTCACTCAAAGCTTGTGGGTGTCCTTCTCAACATCCTGCTGTTGACGGAAGAAGAAATGTTGCACCATCTGAGATGCGGAAAACCATTTCATTTGCCGTGTAACTGCAGGGTTCCAGGTGCTGCAGTTCCAGGTGCCATGTCTTCCGGTTAACAGCAAAAGCAAGGTCACGCAAGTCATTGAGCCAGGACCCCCCAAAACCTCCGGCTTCCAGGTGCACCTGTGACATGTTGGGGCTAAGGCTAAGGACAGTCCAATCCATTGAAAAGACCCGTGGAGCTACCATGAAGCATGTGGAGCTACCCACCATGCGGGACCATCCATGTGGTCTGCTCTCGGTCCAACCCATGAAGCACCCATGAACACCATATAAAGGTCCTCAAAGTCAAACACCTACCAACCAATCATGGGTCCATCATGGTTAACAGTACCTGCCAGCCCGGGCTTGGGGCGAATGGGCCAACCTGCAATCCAAGCGGAAAGCAAGCAATGCTTCGGCCACAGCAGAAGGTGAAAGCTGTCTCGTTTTGAGGCCCACGGTGGCCCATGGGTGCAGGATTCAGTTCCCACCCACCCTAAAGGGGATATCCAGCCTCAGGCATCTCCGCAGTGCTGGCTGATTGGCCCATGGCGTCCAAAGATTCTTCCAGGAAACCGGACCAACACAGGTTCTTTGACGTGCCCAGACTGTGGGGGAGACTTGCCCTTCGGGAAGAGCTGCTTTTGATCTTGATTTTAACAAGGAAACATGGATCAGTTCACTTGGTAGGGGAGTACCCCAATTCTTTAGAAACTCGCAAAAATGACCACGAAACTGCTAGAATCCGACTGAATTCCATTTGGGCACCCTCGCTCCCGCGGCACGGTTCGCGCACAGAACTGCCCTAAACGGTGAACAGCGATCCCAAAACGATGTGATTCGAAGCCCAGTTTCTTTAAACAAACGGAGTGATTGGCTGAAGGTTCTCCATGACATCCCATGTTACATGTGGTGTTCCTCTCAACCGATCGGAGCCAATGTCCCGCCGCTGCCCGAACCACGAGCTGGGCCACGCGGAGCCAATGGGGGGCGGAGCCGATCTCCGCCGCTGAAGCGGCGATCTTCGGTGTGAAGCAAGCGAATTGAAGAGTGATTTTTTTGGAAGTCCAGTCGACTGTTTGAAAGTATGAATTCTGGTGACCTGAATTTCGGAATTTCCTTCACTCTGGTGCCAAATAGAGTCGGACTTCTAGGGAGATGTTCGTTTGCGGAAACCTTCACATGGCCTTCCAAACCACTCATGACCAGTTTGGGTGGCCTTCCGATGATCCTGAAATGGTCAAGCAAACGTTTGGAGGGCTGGTCGGACCTCTGAGACAAGGAAGTCCCCCTTTAATCAAAGCGTTTCGCACCATTTCAATCTCTTTACGCCTGTACTCAGTTCGTACTCGTTCGCTGGGTATGCGCCAGACCCGAACCCCAGAACTCCCACCAACTGTCACCTGCCAGGGCTCCAGAAGTCCGACGTATTTTTCGAAGAATCTACCCTGTACAAAGACTTGGCTATGTTGCTGCCAAAAAGACCCCTCCAAACCACTCGAAGCCATACACCAAGGCCCCACGCCACCAGATCGTGTGGCTTGAGCACGTTGCTGCAAACTGGACACGTCCACCTCCGCTTCGTGGAAGACTGGAGGGTCTCCTCTTTGGCTTTAACATTCTATATTGTGACATACATGTGACTTTCTCATTCCTGACTTGGATCTCTCTATTTGCGAGGTCTATCCATCTTTGTACAACTCAAAGACTTGGACTTTTGCCCCGCAGGACTGGCAGGACTCGGACGGACTCGCAGGACGGCTTCTTGGGAGCCTGTTGTTCAGGGCTCGCATCTTCAAGTTGGACTCCAAGTAAGCAGCTAGGCCAAAGCACTGCAAATGCCTGGCGTGACACCGGAGAACTGACTGACGAGTTGGCAAGGACACGGCAAGGCCCCAGACACTTCTGCTGCGAGTGGGCACGGACACGGACAAGGGCAGGAAGCTGATGTGTTCTCTTGAAAATCTTGAAAGTGGCCAGAGTCCAACCTCTATACAGAAAGAACAGAGTTGAAAGGTAAAGAAAATTGACAGAAGCAAAAAAGATGTTTTCTTTTTGGCCGCCAATGTCCTCCTCTACACGTCGGTTCATGGCAAGCTCCAAAGCAAGGTCTGAGAGCACAACTTTGGTAGTTCCTTCACGAATCCTGTAATTTGTTCGCTCACAATCTCTATAGCAATCAAGCTGTTCTCAGAGCAGTGCCGCCCCTTCAACAGGGACAGCACACTCCATCCATATCGCTCTCAAACCACCGGGGGTTCACTGGCCACTGGACTGGGCCATGAATGCTTTTGTCGCGCCACCGAAAACGGTGGGTCCTCACCGCTCCTGAGAACCTTGGGGCGTCCAACGACCCACCGGGTGCAGAAGCCAGATGTCTAATCCTTTGGGAAAGTCTGGATGAGAAAAGAGATCGACTTAGCACCACACCCAAAAAATCCCCTTAGGAAAACAAGGTTCACGGAAAAAACAAAACGAACCAATGGAAAAGTGGAAGACCACCCACCACGGTGTTGTCTTCCGAACCATCATCCTCCCATCCACGGGGCCCGCCATCGAGAAATCAGGGGCCCACCATCCTCCGTGTCCTCCGGTTCCAGGTGAACCCGGGCTGTTGCCACCCGTTGAAGACACGCCCACACCGGGTGAGGCGTTGGTTTCAACGAGGCCCACCGGGGTCGGCCCACCCAGGTCGGTCCACCGGTCCAAGCAAGACCCGCCAAGCGCCGCGAAGGGACGCGCCGCGAAGACGGGTCTTTCCGGGAGGGCCCGTGGAGGTTCCAACTGGAACGAAAAACCCTGAGTGACCTCTATTTGGGATCACAAACCAGCCAGATGGTCAAACTTCCTAAAACCGGAGGGGGGACCCCAAGAGGCGCAAAAATGGCGCACCTGTCACCAGGACACGCGTGTTGGAGGGGTGCTGGTAACTCGTCTTTCCAGAGATCGGTTCGAGTTGTTCATCTCACGTTCTCGTTCGAATCGGCTCCTCAAACCCAGTTCACGCCATAGGCCTCGATTCTCGTCTCGCGTGCACGATCACGCTCCTTCCTCGCACGATCACGAACCTCCCGTCGCCGCTCGGCGCCTGGTCTCGCGTGCAGCGATGGTCTCCCCCCGCGGGCCACAGGCTTCGCGCCGGACGGGGCTCTCACCGCGAAGCTCCCGGCGGTTTCACCCGGACGCGCGAACGGTTCGACCTCCCGCGTTCGGCCGTCTGCCGCCCGGGCGGCGAGAATAGCAAACAATGAGACTCACGAAAAGGATGACGAAGATCAGGGACCCCTTGGGAGCTCCGGAACGACGAAGAGGGGGCCTCTATGGTTGAAAAGGATTGGAAAAGGAAGACTGAAGTCGTTCATTGTTCAAGTGCTGCTTCCTCATCTCTTCAAAACTGTTGCGAAAACACCTCAATGCTGCGATAGGCAAAGCTACATGACATGCTCGACAACCGCGGGTCTTCGAACAACCGGAAACCCGTGGAAAACTGTCTGAAGGGTGAGTTGTATGCGAGAACACCCACACCCAGAACCATCCAAAAGATGCGTTCCACAGCTTGAGAACAAGCGACATGAAGAACTTCAGCAGGGCACACTGCGACACGGGGACGATGAGTAATCCTTTAGGCATTTGCTCGAGTTCGGCTCCTTTTTGCTCAATTATATAGACCTCTGATGACCTCTGAAGTGCCAAAAATGCAGCAGGTGTCTTCTTCAGGTCTCCCACTGTTCTTCCTGGTGCAGTGCCCCTTACTTCCAGCTCCCACCTACTTGTCCAGCGCGCCACGCGGTGCGACTTGCGGCGCTGTTTGGGTCGAGGGACGATGACCACCCAGTCAGTGGGGTAGAGCACCTCATCATTGTAGGCCTTGGTGGGCTCTGGAGCCTGCGTCGTCTTGTTGTTCACCACATTCACCTCAGGTCGTGGGTCGTCGTAGCACCTCGTGGACGCGGCGAACACGAACGAGGGTGGAGGGGAAGGCGTTTGAGGGATTCTTGAAGAGAAGCACTTCCGAAGGACACGCATCAGGTTCTTTTGGCGCCTGGGCCCAAAAAGCAGCCCGGGCGGTCATTCAAACCGGCCCTGGGCTACTCGTGAAACCGATCATGACTTGTCCGCTGGCGTGGTCACGCCGGGTGGCTGTGACGACCACGTTCTTGTCGTCCAGGATCTGGTCCACCATATTGGTGCTGCTGGTCGTGGTCAGCGTCACCATGCGATCCTCAGCGCGTCCCACGCGACGCCAGGATCGAGGGGAGTGGTGGTGTTTGTCCCTAACGCGTCGCAACGACTCGACATGGAAGTGGAAGATGGATGAAAAGTCCGACCAACTGGAATGAAATATTCCATCCTATTCCTACCTCTTCACCGGTTTTCTTTTTTCACAATCACCGACTCGTCTCTTTAGTGGTCTGAAAAATGCTTCTTTACGACTCATGGATGTTCCACCTCGGAGATGAGTCGGACTGGAAAGTACGACTTTTTGATACCTTATTTGATACCTCTTTTGCCAACCATTTAGTACCCACTCCTGGATTTAATTGTAGCAAAATTCTACAGGACAAATTCACTCAACTTGGATTCATGGACTTGGCACAGCTTGACCCAATCCAATATCACCACCACCACTAGATCCAACAGACGTGCTCCCACAGCCGCTGTCACAGCCGCAGCCGAAAACCCCCCCCAACGTCTACGTGGCCCTCCGCCGTCCTACGTGCGGTGTCCACAGCCACTCACCTTCACCAGTGTCCACACACGCTGTCCGCGGCCCGCCGACTCTTTGCAGGTAGAGACTCGGAAGCATCCAAAATCTGGACCAGCCGGGTATCTTCCATCTCCTCAGACCGGCGAAGACATCCCCCAAAAGGCGGCCTGTTATTACTGCAGAATGTTGGCAATCGCGGGTGACTTTCCTCTGAAGACATGAAGCCTTGAAGCCTTGAAGCCCTGCTGACGACCTGAAGCCTTGAAGACCTGAATCCTTGAAGACGTGAAGACCTAAAGCCTTCTGACGACCTGAAGCCTTCTGACGACCTGAAGCCTTCTGACGACCTGAAGCCTTCTGACGACCTGAAGCCTTCTGACGACCTGAAGCCTTCTGACGACCTGACGCCTTCTGACGACCTGACGCCTTCTGACGACCTGAAGCCTTGAAGACCTGAAGCTCTGTGTCTTCGTATCTTCGCGTCTTCGTGTCTTCGCGTCTTCGTGTCTTCGTGTCTTCGTGTCTTCGGGGCTTCGTGTCTTCGGGGCTTCGTGTCTTCGTGTCTTCGTGTCTTCGGGTCTTCGGGTCTTCGTATCTTCGTGTCTTCGGGTCTTCGGGGCTTCGCGTCTTCGCGTCTTCGTGTCTTCGGGGCTTCGTGTCTTCGTGTCTTCGTGTCTTCGTGTCTTCGCATCTTCGCGTCTTCGTGTCTTCGTGTCTTGTTGTTTTCTGATCTTCGGGTCTTGGCGTCTTCGCGTCTTCGCGTCTTCATGTCTTCGGGTCTTCGGGTCTGCATGACTTCGTGTCTCCGAGGCGTTATGTTTTCCTATCTTTGTGTCTCCGCGTGTCTTCGAGTCGTCGTAGCTTCGAGTCTTCGTGTCTTTGTCTTGGAGTCCTTGTGTTTGCGCATCTGGTCGCCTTCGTTCTTTGGACCCCTCGCGTCTCGGTGTCGTCTCAAGGGCATGACTTCGCAAACTCATATCCTCTTGTCTTGGCCACTTTGTGAATTCGAGTCTGGCTATCTGGATGTCCGGTGACGCCGAAGTCAAAAATACATGACATGACATGAGTGTATAATCTTGGAATTTTTGGTGGCCATTTTGACTGCGAGGCCACACATGATGACAGGTTATGCGCGACACTTCCAGGTTATGTGCATTTTTTTCCTCCAGAGCAGCGCGGCAGGGCGAAACTCTCTTCTTGGAAGTTTCCCGAAGTGTAGTAGCACATGTACCTTGGTGGAGGGGAGAACTGAAGCTGTGTCTGTTGATCAAAGCATGTAGAGTAGATCAGTACCAATATGCATCCTGTTTCTGCCTAGCGTACAATGACATTTTTTCAATCTATGAAAAAGACATTTGGTGGGCACCATCAATTCTTGCCTACAGGAGGCCACTCAGGTCATCCACAGTTGGTTGAAGTATAGAATTGTGTGTGCGCTTGTATGCGCCGATTCGCGACCCCGGCGCATGGTTTTTGATTGGCCTTTGTTGACGCGGTCATTCTTGAAGGCCCACGAATGTAGGAGCAGGTTGTCCTGGCGCAGAAGGCGCGGAGTGTTTGTTGGCAACAATAGCCAAGTACATATAGGCAAAGATTGACCACCATCATGAAATATTCATGAAATATTCGATGTGCATACATGTTCAATGCCTGGCCTTGTTTGTTGGGCCGATAGCTGGTTGATTCTCGGCTGCTTGGAGTCGTACATCCTGACAGGCTTGTCACAATGGGTTGCTGGTTTTTCTGTGGGCATGAGGAGAGTGCTGGAGAATGAGAAGCTGTGGAGGGGAACAAATGTGGAGCAAATTTGGTTATACTACTGTCTAGTGACTTAGGCATATGTGGTTCAAGGTATATATCCACACGGCTACCCACAGGGCTAGGTCATCTGTGCTCACACATCGAGCAATACAGGATGTCTAGGTGGGGAAACCTGGTGCCATAGGACCTTTGGACGCCTCCACCATTAAAAAAGAAGCCTCTTCACTGAACGTCTCATTTTCTGTGGATTGTGGTGGTTGTGGCCTGATGACATAGGACTTGAGAAAATGCCCATATTGGTTCAAGCCTGATGACATAGGCCTTGGGAATCGCCATGTATGTTCGACAAGTCCTAAGTTACTAGTCAGTAGTA